AGGGGTACCGTACATTTGCTCAGAATACTTGCCATGTTTTTACAGTGGCTTCTCTCCTCTTCAGGGCGAGGGTAAATCTGCGCATCGACTCGCTCTCGCTCGCTCTCGCTTTCCGACGCAGTGGACCGACGTCGGGACAGCAGCGTCGGGGCGCTCGGACGACCGCGTCGACCGCGTCGATCGTCCAACCAATTAAACGAAAGCTCGAAAGCTCCCTCCGCGTCGCAAACGTCGCGCCGATTCGGTGCTCGCGCGTGTGATTGGCTGAGCGTGGCTGTCATCACGGCCAATCAGAGTGAGCGAGAGAGAGGGAGAGAGAGAGAGGGGGGGGGCAGAGTCCTGCTGGCATCTGCCAGTTTTCGGACTGTAAGTTAATTTCGCGGTTGCTGGACGCTCTCTCTCGCTCTCTCTCTCTCTCTCCCTCTCTCTCCCTCTCTCTCTCTCTCTCTCTCTCTCTCTCCCTCCCCCTCGAGTGCGAGGGAGACAGCGCTACGCCACGCCATCCCCCTGCAGAGGAAGAGCGCCGATTATCCTTTCATTACGCGATGCATCAATGTCGTGCGCGGTTCATCTGAGACTCTCCCCTCTCTCCCTTCCTCCCTCCCTCTCCCTCCCCCTCTCTCCACCGCGCTGTTGACACTAAAGTGAGCGAGGCGCCTTGTGGAGCAAGAGAGCTGTCTCTTGGCAATGACGACAGAGAGAGACAATCCTCCAGAGGGAAGGGTGCAGTGTGCTGGAGGCTGGCTGGAGGCTGGAGCGCTTACTGCGGATAACTTGCGGCTGGAGGAAGGCGCCTCAGATTTCCGCGTTTAGTTCAACTGGTCCAAGGATGGGTCGAAGGGAATCTGTGAGCGCCACAAACAACCCACGAACCAAGAAAGTATTTGTTTAAACTGTATATTGGGCTTCAACTTGCTGCCTTGCAAAAGTGCATCGGTTCATTCGCGGTCCTGTTACGCATGCACGACGAACGGCTCGCGTTTGGAATTCGCTCGACCGACTTCTTGACGCCTCATGCAGTTTTTATGAATTGCAGGGAAAATTCCTCTCTCTCGGTCTCTCTCTCTCTCTCTCTCTCTCTCTCTCTCTCTCTCTCTCTCTCTCTCTCTCTCTCTCTCTCTCTCTCGGACAGCAGGCGGCAGCGGCTTCTCGCGAAACTGGGGTGGAGTAGAGTCCGTTTTTATTGCCTCGTGTCGACACTCTTTGTGTGTGTGTGCTTGTGTGCGTGCGTGCGTGCGTGTGTGTGGCACGCATCACGATGCTATAATGACGCGAGTGATCGTCACAGAAGGACGTGATCTACTGACGGCGTGCCAACGGCCGCTGAAATCGCTCCTTGAACGAGAACAACACCGTTCCCAAAACGGCCACCAAACAGCCGCCTCTCTCTCTCCCCTTTTTCTGCCACGCGTGGACGAATTGAATCCCGGCGAGTCGCGGTGTGCGGTGCGGTCACAGCGGAGAGCGCCGGGCGTGTCGGAGTACCGGCCGTTCCGACACTCTGTCTCTCTCGCACCCATACGGACCGCCCCTACGAGTGCGAGAGAGACGGAGCGACGAGTTCCGGAACCGCCGCCGGCAGGTGAATTCATTTTTCTGACCCGTCACGAAACGTCATCAATTTTTCTCGCAGTCACTGTGCTGTCAGCTGCCGCTCGCTGCTGAGGACACGCGGCGGAGAGGTCCTCGCCGCAGGGGGGGGGGGGGGGCTGGGGCCGCAAGGTCCCGTAAGTCGCTTTGCTGACCAGCCACCATCGCGGCGGTAGTAGCACTGCCCGACTTGTCTCCGCAGAGCAAAGCAAACGCGGTATTTGACCGACTTGCGCGGCGGCGGAGAGTCAAGAGCCCGCGCTGCCAGCAGACGGAGAGTCGTATTCGTCGCTCCGTCTCTCTCGCACCCACACGGAACGCCCCATGAGTGCGAGAGGAGAGACAGAGCGACGAATACGACTCTCGGAATCAGTCTGCTGCCGGCATGCATTGCATTATCGTGATGAGGCGGATCTAAGAGACGGAGGGCCTAACGGACGGGCAGCCGTCTTCGCGGTAACGGGCTGCGGTGTGAGGACCCGAGGACCCGAGGAGGACCGCGCGACGCGGACGCGGGGACTCCAAGTCGGCCACCCGGCCACTGCACTGGGGCCGCTAGTGAGCCGCCATGCGGTCTCTGGGTGCATCCCCGTAGACACACAGACAGACACACAGACACACAGACAGACAGACTGACAGACAGACACCCCGGCATGCAGATGCGGCAGGTGGCAGAAGAGGCGCTGGTCGGGGCGGCGAGGCGCCGCAGCTACCACGCACAGTGGGCCAGAAGACCCGAGGAGGCGGCCAAAACGCGTGCCCCGTCCTCGCCTGGCCGCCTCTCTAGCCTCGCGCGGGTCGTGTTCCATTACACGTATCCACGTTACAGCGTAACAGCGCTCCAGGCCGAGCCGCGCCGGCAAGGCGACCGCACCGCGCCCCGCCACGCCCCGCCCCGCTTTTGCTTAGGAAACAGCGAAACGGCACAGGGAAGCCGAAACCTCAACCGCAGCGTCCCGCCGCCTCGCGCCGCCTCGCGCCGCCTCGCGCCTCAGGCGTCGGCAGTCCTTGACCACGGCCCCACTGGGGCACGGGGGCCTGCCTGAAGCCTGCCGGGGCCCGCCTGGGGTCACGACCTCTGGGATCCTCACCAGCTCCGAGCGCGGTGATTCCATTGCTTCGTCGCCCCGTCTCTCTCGCACCACTGGGATGCGCCCCACGAGTGCGAGAGAGACAGAGCAGCCCGTCGGCCTGCAGTCCGGAGGCACTGGCACTGGCGGTAGCGGGTCCGGCCGCGTACCGTACGGGGACGTACGTGCACTCGAAATAAAGAGAGCATTTTCCGCGGGACGGAGTCATGAACGCAGCCATGGACGCAGCCGACGAGTCGGAGCCAGCGGTCCAGTTTGCAGGGCGGGGCGGGGCGGGGCGGGCGGGGCGGGGCGGGGCGGGGCGGGGCGGGCAGAGCAGGCAGAGTCGTCCAGGTTTGCTCCAGTGACCCGCTGACTGCGAGCGAGATGAGTCCCCCTCTCTTTCTCGATGCTGCGGCACTGCCTAGGGCGCTGTGTGCCGACCAGTAGACTGACTCCGAGAGTCGTCCTCGCCACTCTGTCTCTCTCGCACTCACGGAGCGTCCCGCGGAGGTGTGAGCGAGACAGAGCGACGAAAGCGACTCTCGGAATGGAGGCGGAGTGCGGAGGACGGCCTCGAGTCCCCGTTTCTGTCGGTTTCCACAGTCAGTCCCGGGTCGGGTCCCGCCCTGTCTGCCGACCAAACTCGGCGTGTTCCAGCCCAAATTAGTCACCCGGTGCTCCGTTCCGACCTGTGGTTTCGTCGCTCTGTCTCTCTCGCACCTCCCGGAGGGCCGTCGGGGTGCTGGGCCGCCTCCGGTTTGATCGGCCGGTCTGCTTGCCTCGCTAGTCGATGACGGCCTGCCGGATGGCGGCGGCCAGCCGTCGTCCTGTCTCCCTCGCACCCCTACGGCACGCCCCGCGAGTGCGAGAGAGGCAGGACACTCTGGAATCGCCTTGCAGGTGGGCCAGCGCGACCAGAGGCACTGCGTCCGTCACCGGAACGGCGACACTGTCGGGCCGGCCGGCCGGCACAGGCTGGCTGGCAGCCGGCCCACCGCCCGGCCCGCGTCCCCAAGCCGTCCCCGCGTCGTCGGAATGCTAATCCGAATCCATTTTCGGGCCATCGCCTGTCCGGCCTGTCCACTGCCTGTCCACTCCCATCGGCGTTTGTCTTCGAACGCCTGCGGAACGGAGGGTAGGCAGCGCCGCAACGCGCGGTGGAGCAGCGGGCTTGCCTGCCAACACGGCGCTAACCTGTTGCCTTTGCAAAGTGGTATTGCTATTGCTATTGCCATTGCCACTGCTACTCCATGGGTGCATTCGAGTGCCGAACCAACGAACTGGCTAATGGGAACCGCGTGCGCGGGGAAACTGGCCGAACTGGGTCCGTCTTTTGTGTCCCTGCCATCTCACTGCGGCAGAACAAGGCGCACCGAGACGGCGACCGGCCGGCCAGAGCAGAAACGGGAACGCCCGGGAGATGCTCGCCAACATGGGACTAGCAGCGACTAGCAGTGGACTAGCAGCGTAGCTCCGATGCTCTGACACACTTAGTCGTGTCTCTGGGCCGCAACAAGCCGCTGATGCGGGAAGGATAGTGCACGCACTGGAGCAGAGAGAGAGAGAGAGAGAGAGAGAAACTGACACGCATGCAAACTTTGTGTCGTTGTGGTACATCAAATACATGTATAGATCTGACAATCTGACCGATTACCCACGAAACCGGCAAAATTTGAAAAAAAAAAAATAAATACGGCCTCTTCTTTTTTTTGCGCGCGGGTGTGTGCATGTGTGTGTCCATGGGCCCGTGTGTTTGAGCGCCTTTAAAGACACCGAACCGGCCGGGGGCATTAGGGAAAACATAACACCGGGACCCTCCTCGCCGGGCCTGGACGGCCTGGACGACTCGCTTGTTGACCCCGCACGCACCGCGACTAAACAGCTGTCCACGCGCGCGCGGCACGGCACGGCACGGCACGGCACGCGGGGTCACCTGGACTTGACTTTCTCCCCAAACACTCACACCTCGGGCGGGCCGCCAAGCTGGCCGCCAAGCCGGCGCCCTATCTGTGCGTGCCGCCAGGCCGAGCCGCGGTGGGCCGAGTGGAGAAGCGAGCCAGCCAGCCCCGGCTGGGGGGTGACTTCGCAGTGCAGTAGCCATTTTGTTGAAAAAAAAAACAGCCTTCGCTTTTTGTATGTTAGGTTAGGTTAGGTCACAAACCATAATGATGACTCTCGTTTTATTTACTTCTTTCTGTTTGGCCTGTTTGTTTTTTCAGTGGAGGCGAAATTAAAAGGGCCACGCTATCCGGCGCGGTGAAAAATATTCACACACACACACACACACAATCGAGTTGATGGAAAGTGGCGAGGCTCATAGCTGGTTTTGTGTTCCAGGTGGGGCGCCGGTCGGAGACGCCGTCGTCGATCTTGTCGTCGGACAGCGACATCCGCTTCACCCGAAAAGTGAGCGGCCAGTACCGGTGCGGCTGCTGCGTCCTGGCCGCCTTCATCACCTTCCTGCTCGTCGTCTCCATCGGCGTCTACCTGGGCTGTGAGTTTCCTATCCCTTCACACAGTGGGCCAGAAAGACCGGTGGAGGCGTCCGAAACTTTAGGCGCGTTTTGAGCTCCAGAGTCGCTAAACAGGACTCGAACCGAACGTCTTACCCCACCAATGGATTCCTCCTTCGGAGAGCAATCCATTGGTGGGGTCACACGTTCGGTTCGAGGCCCATTTAGTGACAATGGAGCTCAAAACGCGTCTAGAGTTTTGGCCGCTTCCACCGGTTTTCCGGCACTATGCTTCATAAGAATAATAGGAAAAATATGTACACTAGTATTGACTTGTAATTCTTGTAAAATTTTCGCGTCGTGCTTGAGATTGGGTGTACTCTGCATCACAGGTTGCTTCAATTGTTCAGAAAATAGTGCCCAATAGTTCTGTAACAAACATTGACGCAGCAGGGGGGTGCTGAAAAATTGAATGCACGGGAAGATTTATGGTGCAGGGTAGATCAAATTCTTTCGGATAGGTAGTAGCGGGCCTCTGGGCCTTTCGGATGGGCAGATAGATAGATGGATAGCCTGATAGATGGCCGGGTGTTCGACACAGACGGGATGCGCCGCCGCGGCCGCACTAACGCACCCACACTGGATGAGAAAATATCGTCGGACGGCTTTCTCTTCCGCCTTCCGATCCGAATATGAATGAGTACCTACAAATAACGTCTTCGCGTTTGCGTAGAGAGACAGACATTGCGGTTGGGACTCGGGGCTGGCTGGGGCATCGACTGCCGATCGGGGAACCTTTTCAATTCGACACTGACTCGCGTGGGATTCCGTATCCGGTTCTAGTCGGCACTTCCGGTGCTCGGCTCGGCACTCCCAGGCAACGGGACACTCGCTGGCTCGGCTTGCAGGATTAGCTCACCGGCGAGTCAAGGTATCGAGTTCCAGGGGTCCAGAGTCCCAGTGCACGCCGTGCCGGTCTCATTTACACGCTAATTCGCGCGGCGCTCCGTCTCTGTCGCACTCACGGGGCGCGCCGCGGGGCCGCCCGGGTGCGAGAGAGACAGCAGTCGCGGTTATCCAACCGTGATTAAAAATCGGTATCGAAAAGTGGCCTAAGCCCGGCAGCGGCCGTCCCGCTTGCGCAACGGAGTGACGGAGAGCGCGGCCGAGTGACGGAGAGTGACGGAGAGTGACGGAGACGGCGCTAACGAGGCTCGTTACAGCTCTATAAGGTCGGGCTGCTCATCGACGTCCGCATCAATCTTTCTTTGTCACGCTACACCTGACCCGAGTGCCAAACACTGCTCTCGCTCCCTCCGGGGCGCGCCGTGCGTGCGAGCGAGACAGAGCGCGCCGTTCGGCCGCGGCCCGCGGGCGGAGGCGCCCGCGTCAAAACAGAGGATGACGTGATTTACGGTGGTGTGGACCCAGCCTGCAGGGATTGCGCAAGTTTCCAGTGCAGATTTGCGTGGGCCGTGGTTTTGGCGGCTGGTTAGCTAGGGCTTAGATCCGTGTTCAACTCCCACTAGGGGTAAAGTTTTGGTGGTCTCACTCTAAAAATTTTTTTCAATTTACTAAATTTTAGCTTGATTTGACTGTTTTTGCAGGTATATCTGCGTAATAACTTTATTTACTAGATTTTGGTCATCGGTTCGGGCCTATTTAAAAATTTAAAATACTGAAAGACTCCACTTTTGCTCCGCGAGAACATTCCAAAGTACTTTGAGGGCTCCAGGACGGTCCCCGGGCCGCGCCGTTATGACTTTGTAGGATAATGACCTTGCAGTGTGCATCCCCGGCGTGCCCCGCCGTGCCTCGCAGTGCCGTGCCTTGCAGTGCCGTGCCTCGCTCTCGTTGGCAGTGATGGGCGGGGAGGGGAAAGGCAAGAAATGAAAGTGGCGCATTATCATATCATAAGGCGATGCGCAGTGGAAATCGGCATATAGTTCATAATCGGGCAAAGTGTTTCATCGCCGGCGGCCACTCTCACGTCACTTTCGGCAGAGCTGCTTTCTTTGTTTGCAGAGCAGGTGTCTGTGGGTCGTTCAAGCTCATGGCGTCTCAGCCTCACATAGCCAGGCTAATTTTTTTTTTTAGTTTTTAGGGGCAGGGGGAATTTTTGAAATTTTATTTTGCAAGCGGCTGGAGATTTAAAAAAATAGAGTTTAGCACTGAGTAACAAAAATTCAAAATTCAATTTAATATTAAGCTTATCCTGATGAAAAATTATTTTTTTGTCCCAAAATGTTCTTAATGTCACGTTAGCACGCCCTGCGCATAGCCGGGCAAAAAAAACGCGTCAGTCGGATGACAAGTCCCTTTCTCCCCGACACCTTCTTTATTTTGGCATCAACAAATAAGAACCTTGACATTCGAGCTTTCTCTCGTTGACCCTTGACACTGGTGGTCCGGCCTTGCCGGGCCTTGCCAGGCCTTGCCCTCCCCGCCCGGGGCCCAGCCGGGCCAGTGTGGGGGCCAGTCTGGCCGAGCGGGGCCCGGCCGCGTGGAGCCAAGTCGCGCAAAGTCAATAACAAACCAACATGCCCAAAATCCACTGCTGGAAGACAAACAGTGGAAAGCCTCGCTTCTTGCGACAATTATACGGTTTAAAAAAATGCCGGGACAGAAACGGCCTCTGGAGATGAGCAATGACAATTATGCAAGATGAGACTGCACGGCTGTGTCCAAAGCCAAAGAGCCCTGGTGCGTTTTTTTCCGCCTCCAATCCGAATTGTTTTTCGAGAGAAAGGTCCACGTCAGGGTCGCGCGGTGCCTCGCTGCAGGCTGAGCGGCGCCTCTGTCTCTCTCGCACTCCCAGGCTGTCTGTGGCGGTGTGAGAGAGACAGAGCGACGAGCTGGCTGCCATCGACGGCTGCGTGACGTGGACTCTGAATAATAATTACCTCAGGAAAAGAGACCCGGAGCGTCCGGAGTCCGGGGCCCGGATGAGACATTTCACCGCCAGCAGCCCGCAGTGAAGGCAAGCGTCGATTCCGTGGAAGGGCACTTACGTTTTCGGCAGGCGGGAATGTACTTTCCGTGACGAGGACCTCGAAGTGGCCTACAGGGCAAACAGCTCCAACAAAAACCACAACTTTAGCCATCGGTATCTCCTCAACGATGAGCATTGTGAAGTAACTTGATTGCTAAATTAAACTTCTTAAATTAAACATCTTGAGTTGTTGTGTGCAGGCTGTTTGTTGCCTCCCCCCTTCTCTCTCTCTCTCCCTAGAGCCTGAACTGGAACTAAGTGCCTGGACACTGCGTGGGTCCACTTGCCCTGGACTTGTGCAACACCGCGAGCCTTGGACTCCAGCCGTGGCTTTGGAGCCTGAGACAGACGCTGGGACTCCAGGCCGCCCTGATTCCGAAAGATCGTTTCGTCGCGCTGTCTCCGTCGCACTCGTGGGGGCGTGCCGTGCGGGGGAGAGAGAGAGCGGCTGCAGCGTAAAGGGCAGCCTTGAACCGGCAGGGCGGCGCAATCAATACTGGACACTACCACACTGCATGGCGCGCCGTGGCGCTGCATGGACTATGGTGATTAATAACATTCAAACTCCAGCCGGGTGGGGCTGGAGCAAAGGGCCGGAGCCTGGAGCGCCTGGAGCCTGGAGGCTGCCGGCGTGCCCCGAGTGGCATTGTCGTGAGTTGCATTTAGAGCATACTCCGGGACTCCGGGCGGCGCCTTCGTCGCTTTCTCTACGTCTGCGTGCGTGCTGCGTGTGCTGCGTGCGCTGCGTGCTCCGGGAACAGTGCGTGCTTTTAATGCACGACAGCCACGCGATTCGATAAGGAACTTACAGTGTGCGGATCCAGATGAACGCGGAGTCTCGGAGTCCACAGGACAACGGGTAGGAGGGGTCACAGGTCACGTCAGCCGAGCCCTTTGCGGTAAACGACCAGTGGGCCAGAAGACCGGCGCCGGCGGCCACAATTCTGGACGCGTTTTGAGCTCCAGAGTCGCTGAAAAGGACTCGAACCGAACGTGTGACCCCACCAATGGCCTCATCCGGAGAGCAATCCATAGGTGGCGTCCCATTTAGCGACTCTGGCGCTCAAAACGCGTCTGGGATTTTGACCACCTCCACCGGTCTTCTGGCCCACTGTGAGACCTCTAGAAGTGCTTTCAGCCGGTTTGTGAAAAGCTTAGCGAGATCAACGACACGAGAGCATGAGGTGTCTCACGCACGAGGTGCGGTAAGGGGATCAATCTTTTCTCCCGATTCGTCACGGCGAGGTCGCTGAGGTCGGCGGGGCCAAGAGGCCGTGCCTCGCGATGCCTGCGAAGCTCCGCGGAGCTGCAGTGGTAAAATTGATTGGCCGGATTAAGAGATGGAAAAAGGGGGAGGGGGGGTCTGCGTGATGATAGACGTTCGAGAGAGACGAGACTCAGCTCGGCATTTTTCTCCTCCTTTGCGGTCGCCGGGTTGAGAACAAGGACCCACGAATGGATATAACGTTACAAATTATTGCGGTTATTTCTTTCTGGAGTTGTTTTTTTTAGAGTGCGGTTGCGAGGGAGCGCGGCCACCGGTACTCCGCTTTTGTAGCGACAGGTCAGGAATGGGTGCGTTCGGCCCACTGCTTTTGGGCCCATTGTAATGGCTCGCCTCCGTTCGCGTTCGGCCCGTTCGCTTCGGGTGCGACTAAACAGGCTCAAAAGGAACTGGGCCGCGACTGGGCTCGGCGGCGCCGCGACCACCAAGGCTACTCCTCGCCGGGGACTGCACTGGAAAAAACAAACGACAACGGAACGAAAAAAAAAGACGGTAATGAACTAGCCGGAGCGTGTCGTGTCTGGACGGCGCGTCAAATTGAATCCCGCGGCGTCGGGATGCGTCAGGATGTGAGTCTAATTGGTGGGGCCGGGGCAGCCAGGGCCCCGGGGCGCTCCGGATGAGTCACCGACACAACGTTTTCGATATAATTTGCATCACTACACGACCGGCCGGAGAAAGTGGTGAGCCGCCGAGCGGGCCGTCGTCTCACGACCCCGACATGTTGCCGCGCTACCTCTGTCTCTCTCGCACCCTTGGGGCGGACCCTACGGGTGAGAGAGAGACAGACAGAGCGATGGAGCAGCACACTGTTTGGGATCGGCCAGTGGGGGACCTAATAGCGCACTGTTAGCGATGACGCGGCGAGTTGGGCGAGTTCGACGTTTGCTTGTGTTTGATACACTCTGCGGGCCCAGGCGCTTCTCTCTCTCTCTCTCTCTCTCTCTCTCTCTCTCTCTCTCTCTCTCTCTCTCTCTCTCTCTCTCTCTCTCTCTCTCTCTCTCTCTCTAAATTTTACAAAAATTAGCATTTTTAAAAAACTTTTATATGAAAGAGGGGAAGCTCTTTTAGGCCGTGTGTAGAGCTCCACTTCCGTTTCCCGCACTCGTTGTGTTTGACACCCAAGTCGTTGGATGCCTCGTCGGTGGCTGCAGGGATGAAGGCTGCAGAGAGGCGCTCGCCAGTCGCCTGTCACTTTCTCGGCCAATCGGCCCCGATGATGCATTCGGGAGTTTCCGTGCGTGCGTGCGTTTCCCGGACCTACCGCGGGGTCCAGCCAGCCGCCCGGCCCGTTCGGGGGCCAATGAGGTGGAAACACACATTCACGTTCGGCCGATCGGTGCGGCACTCGAACGGCGCCAACGGGTTCCGAAGGTGGGCGAAGGTGGCCGAGGGTGCCCGAACGGGCCGCACGAAAGCGAAAGGAAGGAAGGCCAAAGTCGCAATTATCGGCACGGAAAGGACGGCCACCGACGGCAGCCCACGGCAGCGAAGGCAGCCCTGGACCGCGGTCAGCGCCAAAAGCAAAAAACGCCATTTAACTGAATCGTTTCCCCGCCGGTTGCCCAACGCACGCACTTTGAGATATCAATCTGAATCCGGTGCTGATCTGTATCGCAATCGGCGATTATGTTTTTGCTGCCCACCACATGCCTGCTGTCATTAACGCCATCAAGATAAGGTCAATTTAGGCCGGAAAGACTTTGTCGTGGGGTTCGGATCAGTTTGGAAAGAGTCGTCAGATTCGGAAGATTTGGAAAGCAGCGCTAGTCAAAATTTGGACTTTTTCCACACGTGCAAGATATCGAAATTTTTCCAACGCTAAAAACGCAGGCGACAAAAACTACTTTTTGAGATAATGTTTTCCCGGTGTACCTCTCACTTCGACCGTTACTCGGGCAGCGCGTCGCAGCGCGTAGGGCAGAGCTAATTTAAATACATCGAGGAGGTAATTCGAGACGACTTGAAAAGTATCACGCTTTTGCCGCTGGCTGGCTGTCCCCCCGTGCTTGTGCGTCTTCCACGCAGTTCGATGAAACCTAGTTCGATTCGACGCGAGTGCAGTCCAGCGTACTCATTTGGAACGGTCGCCAGTGCATCGCTCGCAAAATACAGCGTGCTGGAGGTAGAGTTGCAGGAAATGTTTTCGGACGTCTTCGAGATCTCGAAGCCGAGGCCTTCGACTTCGATAATTATTCTGGCCGTATGTCGTGGCGCGAGGACACTTCTTTCTCCACGAGTATAACGGACGTCCTGCATGATTTATGAGTTCGGCCCTTTTCCTATCGTCTTTCTCTCGTCGGCGTCCCCCCCCCCCCCCCCCCCTCTCTCTCTCTCTCTCTCCTTCTCGCGCTTCTAACAGGAAGGGAACAAGACAACGCGCGTAGAAAGAACAGAGAAAAATGAACAAGATGAACGCACGTTACTGTTCCACAACGGTTAAATTTGAGCAGTACAAAATTCACTCACCAGAACAGGAGGTGAAATTTCGCTAAACGCAGCCGCCGATGATTTCGGCCTGCACAAAATTGCACACTCCGAACGAGGCGGTGTCGTGCGATGTCGTTTAACTTTTACCTCTCGAGGAAGCATTATCGTCCCTGCGCGCGCGGCGTGGCGATCAAGACATGAAGGAAGAACGGAGGAAGATGAGAGCACGAGGGGAAGGGGGAGGGGGGCAGGCCCTTGTCCAGTGTAGGACTTTCTTCGTAATTACCTCATCGGGGTGGTGCCGCGGCTCCAATAATGTTGTTGTTGTGGCCTCAAACGCGCCGCGCCGCGCTCTGTGCGCCTCTCGCGCGGGCACAGGGGCCACAGGGGCCACGGCGGAGGGCCGTAATTTGGACCCCCACACCCTAATTGATTCATGCCCCTTGGACTCTGGCCGACCCGAACGTGGCCGCGGACAGTGGGCCAGAAGGCCGGTAGACGCGGACAAAGCTCTAGACGCGTTGTGAGTTCCAGAGTCTTCTGGCCCACTGCGTCGTGGAGGGCACACTGCAAGCCGCCGTACCGCGCGATGGCGGCGGACGTCAAGGAGAGGGTCAACCCGGATCCCACGACCACAGCCACGGCTTGGCCACGGCCTGCATGAAGTCATAAAGGCTCCGCCCGGCCGGGCCTCCTAATAAGTGACCTTGATCGCATCGCATCGGGAAACTGATCAAACAGACCAGGGCCCCCTGCCGGCAGCCTATCATCAGCGCAAGGCTGCAGGCCTCGGCGAGGGCCACCGAGGGCCACGGTACCACGCCCGGGCTGTCCGTCTGTTTGTCCATGTCTGTCTGCGTGTCATGTTAACAGTACAATGAGAAACCCTTTCCCGGTAGGAGTTTTTACCAAGAGGCACTCCGCTGGTGAAAGCGTGTGAGACGTCCAGTCGCAAAGGTGAACCCGGTCGGGCGTCATCGAAGCCGACTCTGTGGGCCCCGCGGCCCAGCGGCCCCGCCTCTGGCACTGCCGCTGGCAAGTGTGCAAGCATATGCATCTTGTCTCCCGCCCCATTGTTGCTTGATTACGGCCGATGAATCGATAGGTCTCTGTTTCGATAGGTCGCTGTTCCCTTTGCTTTCTCCGGCCGCCAATCAGCCCCGGGACTTATGTCAGCGTCTGATAAGGCTAGTTGCGCACAGTGGGCCAGAAGACCGGTGCCGGCGGCCGAAACTCTAGACGCGTTTTGAGCTCCAGAGTCGCTAAACAGTACTCGAACAAGACATGTGACGACCCCACCAATAGATTCCTCGTTCGAAGATCCATCCATTGGTAGGGTCACACGTTCGACTCGAGCCCCATTTAGCGACTCTGGAGCTGATAACGCGTCCAGAGTTTTGGCCGCCTGCATCGGTCTTCTGGCCCACTGTGCAGACACGTGCCCTCACCCTCCGCTTGCTCGGCGCCACCGCCGGCTTTGTTCCAGCACGAGACAGTCGACCATTTTGCGCAATTTGTGTCTGTCTTTTTTTCTGGCCCGCCGTTGTCCGAAGCCGGCGGCGTGGCATGCAACGGGCTGCTGCAGCTCCGAGCGAAAACGACAGCAAAAACAAGCGGCAACAACAAAAACAACCTAACAACCAGTCGAGCGTGTGCACTATCGTACTATCACGCTATTCGTCTCCCGTTATCATTATACATTTTATTTGCCCCGCTTTATTCATTTATGCGGTGTTTCACGTCTCACTTTGTCCGTCAACGGGATTCGAACCCTCGTCCGAGGCTTTAGGCTTGCCCAACGGCCCGAGCTGCGTTACGTGTGCTTACAGGGAGCCATAACTCTGTTTAGGGCGGCTGGGCTCCTAGGTACATGCCGCACCGTGGGCCCGAAGACCGGTGGGGGCGGACAAAACTCTAGACGCGTTTTGAGCTCCAGAGTCGCAAAATGGGACTCGAACCGAACGTGTGACCCCACCAATGGATTGCTCTCCGAGAGAGGAATCCATTGGTGGGGTCACTCGTTCCGTTCGAGCGCTGTTTAGCGACTCTGGGGCTCAAAACGCGTCTAGAGTTTTAGCCGCCTCCGCCGGTCTTCTGGCCCACTGTGTGCCGGCGGGGCCCATGGTGAGGCCAGGCGCGGTTTCTTGGACGGAAAGGTCAGGACGCTCCCCGTCCGAATCGTGCCCGTCCGATGTGGGCCGCGGTGGCGTGGCGTGGCGTGGCGTGGCGTGGCGTGGCGTGGCGTGGCGCCAATGAATGTCATCCTCGATGAAGAGCCGCAGCCGAGGCCGGAGCGCCGTGAGGGTGGGCCGGCCCGCGCGCCAGAGCCGCGCCGCGGGACTGCCTACCTCGCGGTTCGCAGGCGCTGATGTTCCGGGATGGTTTTATGTCGTGAACCGCAAGCGTTTGAACAACAAAATTTTCAAATTTATTTCTAAGATGTTCTTTGAGTGTCGTTCCTTACCCGAGGTCGCCCTGCCTGCTTATCGTGTTCCTTCAATTAATTTCCCGGTTTCTCTTTCCGTTTGCAGACACATTTTTATCGGTGGACCCCGGCGAGGACCGCATCTTCCGCGGCTCCTTCAGGGTGTCGCGCGGAGACAGCTTCTCGCCGCCGCTGGCCGACCCCAGCACGCTGCAGTTCAGGGAGCGGTCGCGGAACTACCGCGAGCGGCTCAACGTGCTCTTCAGGCGGTCGCCGGTGCGGACGGGCTTCGTGGGCACGGAAGTCCTCGCCCTGGACGGGTAAGCCAGAACTAGCAGGAGACTCGAACCAGATTATACGTTGAACACGCTTCCCTCCCACTAGGGCCAGAAGACCGTTGGGGCAAAAACTCTCGACGCGTTTTGAGCTCCAGAGTCGCTGAACAGGACTCGAACCGAACGCGTGACCCACTAATGGATTCCTCATTCGGAGAGCAATCCATTGGTGGGGTCACACGTTCGGTTCGAGTCCCATTTAGCGACTGTGGAGCTTAAAACGCGTCTTCGGCCCCTTCCACCGGTCTTCTGGCCCACTGTGCCTCCGCGCTGCAGGGACTGACGACCGCTTGTGTTACAGTGTGGAGGGCGAGGACCTGGTGGTGCACTTCAACCTCCGCTTCGACGCGCGGTACGGCGCGGACGTGGCCGTGTCCGACCTGCTGCGCATCATGCACACCGTCACCATCAACGCCACGGCGGCGCCCATCCTGGACGGGCTGCAGGTGGACCCTACCTCGCTGCTGTTCCGCGAGGAGGGCGACCCGCCGGGCGCGTTCCGGGCGTCCACCACGCCGGCGACCACCACGACCACGACGGAGCCGCCGCCGCCGCGCCGCTGCGCCCCCGTGGGCCTGGACTACTGCCGGCGCGGCCTGCCCTACAACGCCACGTCCTACCCCAACGTCCTGGGCCACAAGGTGACGCTTCGCCTTGTAATGACGTCATGGCTCGCGCAGCACAGGGCCAGAAGAACGCCGGAGGCGACTAAAACTCTACTCGCGTTTTTAGCTCCAGAGTCGTGTAACAGGACTCAGACCGAACGTGTGACCCCACCAATGGATTGCTCTTCGAACGAGGAATCCATTGGTGGGGTCAGACGCTCGGTTCCAGTCCTGTTTAGCGACCTCGGGGCTCAAAGCGCGTCGAAAGTTTTTGCCGCCTCCACCGGACTTCTGGCCTACTGTTTGTCCGTTAACACGACGGCTGCTGTCGCTTGCTGTAGGACCTGGCGGCGCTGCGCGAGGACGTGATCGCCTTCCGGGAGCTGGTGGACGCCGAGTGCCACCGCCTGGCGTTCGAGTTCGTGTGCCGCGCGCTGCAGCCCGAGTGCGTGGCGCGCGCCAGCAAGGCGGGCGTGGTGCGCGGCACGGCCCGGCAGGCCGTCCAGGACGCCGTCGAAGAGGATGCCATGGTGCCGCCGTGCCGCAGCTTCTGCAAGGACTTCATGGCGGGCTGCGGGTCCAGGGTGCCGCAGCGCTTCCGCGAGGCGTTGCAGTGTACGCGCTTCCCGGAGTACGCGGGGCCGGGGTCGTGCGCCGACAGGCCCGGCGTCGTCGCCGAGGTGACGGACGCCGCCACGCCCGCCGTGACGGCCGCCACCACCCCGCGCGCGGCGGCCACCCCGTCGGGCACGGCGTCGGGGCCGGCGTGCGTGGAGGTGCTCCGGGCCGGCCCCCACGCCGCCAGGGTGTGCGACGGCGTCCCCGACTGCGCCGACATGGCCGACGAGCTGGACTGCGGCTACTGCCCCCGCGGCGCCATGCACTGCGGCCTGGGCGCCCACAAGCACTGCGTCCACCCGCACCAGCGCTGCGACGCCAAGCAAGACTGCCCCGGCGGCGCCGACGAGAAGCACTGCCGTAAGTACGAGGCCGGCGAGGCCGCGGGGCCGTCCCGGATGACTGCCCACCGCAACACTCACTTATCGACCTTTTTCCGCGGGTAAAAAAACAAATACGAGTGTGCCACCGTCTGGCGACTGCACCGAGGCAGTAACGTCGCTGCGCGGCAGCCAGATTAGTCCAGTTTTATTCATCGGAATGGTTATTATTACCTACGTTATTCCCCCTCCCCTCCTCTCACGCTCTCCGGGGGTCACCGCTTATGGCCGCCGTGGTCGGATTGACGATTTCCCGTCGGCGGCGGAGCGCGGCGGAGCAAGCGGGCTGATTCCGATCAGCCTCTCTCGCACCCTACGGCACGCCCCATGAGTGCGAGAGAGACAAGACGAGACACTGTCCGCTCCGCGCAGCGCTATGCGCGGTCGATCCGGGGTACCTCGTCTCGTGTGTGCCCGGCCTGGCCTGGCCTGGCATGGCCTGGCATGGCCTGGCCTTGGACTACATAACCGTCGGCCACGCTAATCCCTCTGCCTTTCCCCACTCAAACAAATGACAAGTCCGACCGGCGTTATGGCCGGACCCACAGTGGGCCAGAAGACCGATGGTGGCGGCCAAAACTCTAGACGCGTTTTGCGCTCCAGAGTCGAACCGAACGTGTGACCCCACCAATTGGATTCCTCGTTCGGAGAGCAATCCATTGGTGGGGTCGAACGTTCGGTTCGAGTCCCATTTAGCGACTCTAGGGCTCGAAATGCGTCTAGGATTTTAGCCGCCGTCGGTGCTCTGGCCCACTGAGTAACCCGGCCCGCGGCTCGAACCGAGGTGGTGCACGCAGCTGCAACCGCGTGAGCCGCTCCCGAATGGCTTCCACAGTGTAACCCTCGGTGTAACCCGTGGGAAGAACCGGGAAGAACACTCGGACGATCCTCCGGGCGTGAGATTCGGGCCGCAGTGGTGTGTGTGCTCTTTATGGAGGCCTAATCCGCCAGGGCGGGAAGGGGGCCGCCCGAGCCCACCATGCACCCATCTCGGCGGTTCGTTTGCAACTTGAAATTCGTAACAGCCGCGTGGCTCACTGGCATACAAAGTCCCGGCTGACTCGTCGCGCTGAAACTAGGCCCCTTATTTTGAGACGCCTCCTGTTGGCTTTGTGGGTTTTCACGCTGGTGCAGCTCCTCCTTGTCCTGTCCGAGGCCGAGGCCAGGTGGCTCTCTGGTCCCTGCCCCAAGCCGTGCCCCTCGCCGCCCGGGCGTCCGGGTCCGGTTCCGTTCCGGATCGCCTCCCTCACCTCCGTGGGCGTGTTCGCAGTGGCCTGGCAGTGGCCCGCAGAGCCGTGTCAGTGCCCTGCCCCACCGGCGCACCGCCCCAGCTAAGTTTAATTCCACCATCAATCCCCTCCTCATGTTCTTGTTTTGTTTCTTTTCGCAGTGTCCGTGGCCCCGCGGCTGGGCGCGCTGGGCGCGCAGGGCCGCCACCTGTCCCCCGTGCGCTACCACGCCGAGGGCTACGTCGTGTTCAACGAGAAGGGCGAGACGGGCAAGCTGTGCACGGAGAACCTCAACGCCACCGTGCCCGCGCCCAACCGGGAGGCCACCCTCAGCACCATCGCCACGTCGCTGTGCGCCGCGCTGTCCTACCAGTGAGTGCACTCGGCATGCCGAAGGGCCTCTCGTAGGGAGAGCCCCATAGTGGTTAGACGACTTGGCATGAGAACGAAAATTCTGGACGTGTTTTGAGCTCCAGAGTCGCTAAACAGGACTCGAACCCAACGTGCGACCCCACCAATGGATTCCTCGTTCGGAGAGCAATCCAATGGTGGGGTCACACGTTCGCTCCGAGTCCCATTCAGCGACTCTGGAGCTCAAAACGCGTCTAGAGTTTTGTCCGCCTCCACCGGTCTTCTGCCCCACTGTGTGCGGGATCGGCCGTCTGAAAGTGTGAATGGACTTGAACGGCGTCGTCTGCCTCTGCCCGCCCGCAGGAAGGTGGAGACGGTGCGCGTGCAGCTGGACGAGGAGCGCACGGAGCGCTACGTGCTGATGGAGGACCCCACCGCCACCGAGATCACCTTCGTGCCGGCGCCCTGCCCCCGCAGGGAGGTGCTGTACGTGGCGTGCTCGCAGATCGGTACGTACTCCGCTTTGAATGTGAGAGTGTGTGAGTGTGTGGGTGTGTGGGTGTGGCCCCGGCTGACCCTTCCCCCTTCCCTCCGCAGAGTGCGGCGTGAGGGCGGCGGCGCCCTCGGCGTCTCGCCTGGCGGCGTCGGGCGACTGGCCGTGGCACGCGGCGCTCTTCAAGGACGGCGCGCACGTCTGCGACGCCACTCTCCTGTCCGCGCAGTGGCTGCTCACCACCAGCTCCTGTTTCCAAGGGTCGGTAGCCTACACTGTGCGCCGCGCACTGCGTGCACTTACAGTGGCAAAGCGGCGTTGTTCTCAAGACGCTGCTTCTTGACGTGGTCCACGCCTTGCTCACCGTGTCCGTGTTCCTCTTCCCGCAGGCACGTCGGCCAGGGCGACGCGGGCGATGCCAGCGAGTGGGCGGTGCGCGTCGGCGCGGTGCGGCTGTCGTCGCGGTCGCCGTGGCAGCAGGAGCGCGCCGCGCTGGTGCACCGCCGCCTCGAGTCCCCCGTGGAGGGCAGCATGCTGACGCTGCTGCGGGTGTCCGAGCCCTTCGTGCTGTCGGACGCCGTGAGGCCCATCTGCCTGCCCGACGCCGCGGCGCCGCAGCCGGGCGCGCAGTGCACGGCGCTGGGCTGGGGCGGCAAGGCCGCCAAGGTCAGCGTCAAGGACTCGGCCAGGGAGGACTTCGTCGACGGGCAGCGCGAGGCGCTGCGGAGGGTGGACGTCCGCGTCACCAACAAGGAGCGGTGCGAGAACGTCACCATCCCCTCCACCAACGCGCTGTGCGCCGACAAGCACAACGACGACTGCGAGGTGAGTGTTCGAAGCGCGGTGGCCACCGCCGTGGAGGTAGGCAGCTCCTGCCACACGGGCAGCTCTCGCGCAGCCGAGCGAGTAGGCAGCCCAACTTACCCGTTCAGCCGTGCTAGTAGGCAAACTAACCTACTGGTTCAGCCGCGCGCGTAGGCAGCCCATCGCACACCGGTGGAGGCGGCTAAATCTCTGGACGCGTTTAGAGCTCCAGATTCACTCAACAGGACTCGAACTGAACGTGTGACACCACCAATGGACTCCTCGTTCGGAGAGCGATCCATTGGTGGGGCCACACGGTCGGTTCGAGTCCCATTTAGCGACTCTGGAGCTCAAAACGCGTCTAGAATTTTGGCTGCCGCTACCGTGCCTCTGGCACACTGTGCATCGCGTGAGGCGTGGCTGCGCCGTGGGCGTAGGCATCCCAACTGACGCGCTTCTCCGTGGTCGTGTTGCAGGCCGAGGAGCTGGCCGGCAGCCCGCTGGTGTGCCTCCACGGCCGCAGCTGGACCCTGGCCGGCGTCAGCAGCTGGCGGGTGGCGTGCAGCAAGACGCCCAGCGCCGAGCGGCCGCGCATGTACGACAAGGTGTCCTCCAACCTGGAGTGGATCCGGAGGGCGATGCGCGAGGCCGGCGAAGAGGCGCCCACGCCGTCGCGGCCGCACTAGGACCGCCACCGGGACCGTCGGGGACCCCTCATCGAAGACTTGTTTGAGGAAAACAACGAAACTTTTTGTGTGAGTGTGAGTGCGTGCGTGCGAGAGCCCCGAGGAGGTTCCTCCTTCTTCATTTCCTTCCCCACGGAACATTGAGTCCACCGTGTCAAAAATGTTGGAATCTCCCTTGGGATGGGAGCGACGCGTCTTTACCAAATAACAAGAAGGCGGTGTTTGCGGCGCAGCTGTGCAATCAAGAACCTGGTGCGGAGCAAGCAGCAGCAGGGGAAGACCTTCTTCTTCCTTCTTTGCTGCCCTCGCAGTTCCCGTCAGCAGTTGAGACAGGTCCTCTCTCGGGACAACGACTTTGAACTTTGAACCCCACCCCGCCGAGCTCGCTGCTGTCTGTGGCGGGTCTGCCAAAACAAAGCCAATGTAGTTTATTAATTTATTTTTTTTTTGTATTAAGACTCAGTCTTTACTTGTTAAGGTGTGACACCATTTTTTGCTCATGGACATGTTCTTTATTGTATGTTCTTAACTTTGTGATACGCACGTCCGTCGCTATTTTTTTTCTAACTCTCTAACTTAAGTTTACCAAGTAAGAATATGTAAATAGTAATGTCTAGGCTATGATGTTCTGTAATGTGTCTTACTGACCCTTGATGTAGTGTAGGGAATTAATTTTCACTTCATGGCTATTTTGATCGGATATCGGATCGCCATTGGGTGCACTGCCGAGACGATGTCTGTTTTGGTGAGGTAAAAACAAAAATAGTGTCAAGACTGAGAGAAAACGAAAAAATGATGAGGTAGTGTAACTTATGTTGTACATTGTACATAGTGTAGAGACTGCAAGGTCCCCGGGCGCGGTGATGGGAGTGCACCGGCCTCGTGACTTGACTTCCCTTCTGTGGTGCACCCCTGTCCCGCGCCTCCGGGACTCAACCCTGTAAATAACGTCCTGTAAGAATACATTTTTTTAGAGTGTCGAGGAGTTGTGCTCAATTTCCCCGCTGCTTGTCTTCCCCGTGCAAACGAGCGCGACACAAAAGAGCATCGTAATTGCAGCTGACAGTCCTTGCCGCAAAACACACGTACGGGTGGCGCGCAGATAACAAGGGGCGCAAACATGCCCCTGGGGCCCCGGAGGGGGCCGGGGGGGGGGGCAGATTTTCCTCGAGATTCTTTGAACCGCTCACCCACCCCTTGTCTTCCGTGGCCAACTGACTTGGCTTCCTATCCGCTTGAAACGACGATCACAACAGTGTTTCGACTCTAAAAATATCATGCATTTCAAAGATTGTAAAAAAAATATCCGAAAAATGAAGGAACACTTTTGAATTTAAATCTCGCCCGCAGGCGGATGGCCCCCGCCAGTCTCAGATAATCCAGGTGGCTGATGTCACTGGATGTGACGATGCCACCGGTGTTGTGCAAGCGCTTTCGCGCTTTCGGAGTGGAGAGGTAGCACTCGTGTGCTATCAGTGGTGTGTCCACTCGCCCCCGCATGCACCGTCATGCCGAGAACAATCCGTCCACGGCGGTCTGACGGCGGCAGTCTTTACGTGATGTGACCGTATGCGAATCAACTCTCCACGAGCGCTTATAGTTACTACTTCCTTCACAGTTGCATGTAAGCGTGTCTCAATGCGTGTTGGCGTTTTAAAAATACTTCCGAGGTCACATTCAAATTTTGCCTTCGGCACTCAGACGTACGCAAATGGAGGCGCGCGCCACAGTTGCGTCTCCTTCACCCACTGACACGCCTCTGCCTGCACCGGGGCGTGCCGCGCCAGCCAGTCTCGAAGAGAACTCGTTATTTGCTTGTTAATTGTTTGCCTTTGGAGAAGTTCTGTTGTGGGTTTTTTTTTTGTTATTTTTTGTTGGTTTCTTTTTGGTTTTTTTTTAGGGGGAGGGTAATGACTTGGACCGGATTGCAAGGATCTACACTCGACAAAAACCATCGTCTTCCAGAACGACGTAGCAGGGACTCCGCATCCACTGCCACCACACTGCACCCATTGCGCGCAGAAAGGCACTTTTACTTCTGCTGCGCACGTTCATTAGGTGCAAGTCTGCAAGTCCTTGTCGTCGGTTGTTTGTTTTGACGGGGGGTTTTAATCGCACTTCTTGGAGAGCCTTTGTAATCAAAATTGGTCACTCAAACGGCTCGCGGCGGTCGCCAGGCTGTGGCTCTGGCTGTGGCTCTGGCTGTGGCGGTCGGGTGCGGGAGTTTCCATTCCCGTCTCCGTTCAGCATCACTGGAATCCTTTGGATCTGGATTCGTCTAGCGCCGCCAAAGAACGAGAAACGCGGAGCAACAAAAGAGAATGCATCGTCGCTCTGTCTCTCTCGCCCCTGCGCGGCACGCAGCGGGAGCGCGAGAGAGACGCAGCCCGGACGGCCCGGACCGCGGGCTGCCTTGCCGGGACTCGGGAGAAAGCCCGGGCTGGGATTGCCGGCGTCGTTACCGCCTCGTTTAACGCGACCTGCTGCAGTCGCTCCGTCTCTCTCGCACCACCACGGCGCGCCACACGAGTGCGAGAGAGACGGAGCCACGAAAGTCGGCCGCACGGAAACAGCCTGCTGGCGGCGCGGCGGCGGGTCACGGCGACACGGCAGGCGCATCGACGACGCCTTGTTCTTTCGGAGTTCCCGTACAAAAATAAATGCCTCTAGAGTGTCTCGAGCCGAGACACTCTAGAGACGTTCTGGAGACGATGTGGAGACGGTCTGGAGACACTGAGGAGGCAAAATCGGAGACACTGTCGAGACGCTTTGGAGACACCGCCGAGACAGTGCGGAGACGTCGGGAGTTTCTCGACACTGTCTCTATTCTGTCTCGAAAAGGAGACACTCTGGAGACGTTCTGGAGACACTTTAGGGAGACGATCTAGAGACAGTGCGGAGACACTGTCGAGACGCGCGGCGGGAGCGCCGGCCGCCTCCCCCCTCCTCCCACGAGACGGCGTGGAGACGCTTTGGAGACATTCTAGAGACACAACTGGCTCCCCTCCAAACAAAAACTGAAGCCGGCGCCGCACTGGGCGGATTCGACCCACAGACTGCCAGCATCACAACACGGATGGCTGACGTCGGAGCGCACTCGGCCAAAGTGACGCTCCTTAGAGGAGGTCTGCCGACGCGCATACACATGGTTCGGACCAGCGGCAACACTCTACACTCCACGCGGCGACCGCTGTCACGTGAAGTTCATGCAGTGTTATTCATTTAGTAATTACTTTCGGTGCATTTGAATAAAGGAACGTTCAGAGAACGGGGTATTTAAACAGAGAAACGAACATAGTGCTGACAACCAAGATGTTTTAAGTAAAACGACAGCGGTGGCCGCGTAGAGTGTTGCCGCTGGTCCGAACCATGTGTATGCGCGTCGGCAGACCTCCTCTAAGGAGCGTCACTTTGGCCGAGTGCGCTCCGACGTCAGCCATCCGTGTTGTGATGCTGGCAGTCTGTGGGTCGAATCCGCCCAGTGCGGCGCCGGCTTCAGTTTTTGTTTGGAGGGGAGCCAGTTGTGTCTCTAGAATGTCTCCAAAGCGTCTCCACGCCGTCTCGTGGGAGGAGGGGGGAGGCGGCCGGCGCTCCCGCCGCGCGTCTCGACAGTGTCTCCGCACTGTCTCTAGATCGTCTCCCTAAAGTGTCTCCAGAACGTCTCCAGAGTGTCTCCTTTTCGAGACAGAATAGAGACAGTGTCGAGAAACTCCCGACGTCTCCGCACTGTCTCGGCGGTGTCTCCAAAGCGTCTCGACAGTGTCTCCGATTTTGCCTCCTCAGTGTCTCCAGACCGTCTCCACATCGTCTCCAGAACGTCTCTAGAGTGTCTCGGCTCGAGACACTCTAGAGGCATTTATTTTTGTACGGGTTGCTTCCCTCCCTCCCTCCCTCCCTCTCAGACGCCCTTCCCCTCCCCCTCCTCCCCCTTCCTCTCCAGGCGGCATTGCAATACGACTCGAAATAATATGGTCACGGCCAATTCACTTTTCCCTTCGCGGAGTCGAGGACGATGGCCTCGTGGAGCGAGGGGGGGGGGGGGGGGGATGCTAATATTAAGAGTTATGGGCTCGGGGAGACGGACAGGGGGAATGCAAAAGGTGCCTCCATCAAAGTGCCACAGCGAAAAGGGGTTCTCTTTCTCGTAGCTACTGAGTTTCATGTACGTAAAAAAAGGAAGGTCCGCCACACACACTGATAAGTTAGGCGTACCTAGCATACTGGTATCGTTTAAAGAATTATACATTTCGACGTGAAAAACTAAAAAACAATTAACAATTAATAATATTTTTCACAGGACGAGCACTTTTGTGAGACAAACTGAAAGGATCTTACTTCAGTGAAACTAGCTGCGGGGTTCGGTCGCCTATAGGTGCTCCATTTCCAGCGACATGTCCTATTTGAGACCCACCTGCGCCTCTCCTGCGCCTAACCCTGCGCTCACAGCACGCCGGACCCACAACAAGCAGTGCCCGTGTCCACCACGTCCACGCACTACAACGTCGTGCACAAAGTACAAAGGGGACGGGGCGCAGGTGTTCAGCACCGCACCTTGGCGTCGAACAACCGTCGAACGCACTGCCTGCACTTTCCCTCCCCTGCTCCGCCGCCAGCCCTTCTCCTCTCTCTCTCTGTCTCTCTGCTCTCTCTTTCCATCTGTCTCTTTCTCTCTGCTCTCTCTGTGTATCTCTTTCTCCATTTCTCTGTCTCTCTCGGCGGCGTCGACACCCGTCCCGTCATAATGCCAGAGCGACGCCGACGGCGCGGTGGTCGTCGCGGTGCTCGGCTTGGCTCGGCTCGGCTCGGCTCGGCTCGGCTCGGCTCGGCTCGGCTCGGCTCGGCTCGGCTCGGCTCTGGGCCCCCGCGGCCAGCCGGCCCGCGGCCCGGGCAGTGGGACGGCGGCCACGGACGAGGGCGGACGGATCGCTTTGGCCCGAGCGCGGCGTCTGGAGAGACACGCGGCGTGACGCGCCGGGCTCGGTCACGACGGTCACGACTTGGCACGCGAGTGACGAAGTGACACAGTGTTCTGTGCGTGTGTGTGTGTGCGTGCAAGTGGAGTGTGCTTCCAAGGCAGCAAAAGTGGACAGACAGACAACTCGTCGTTCAAAAGCGGCAACTTGGCGCGCTTTTTCGGTCATTCCCCCGGCAGTGTCACAACTGAAAGTGCACTGTTCGAGAGACTAAAACCTTCGGCGGCGGTGCTCGAACCTCGAACCCGCGACACCGTTGCCGCCGTCCTGACTGACGCCGTCACGGCCCGCGGCACGCAGGCACGCGCGGGCAAAGCGAATGACCCTGGCGTGTTTCTGGCGTGCCTCTGGTGGACGTCGTCTGGCTGGTCTGGCCCGCTGGAGCGGCTGGAGCGGCTGCAGCCAAGGGATTGCACCACCGGGACGTCCTCGAGCCGCGGCAGCGGCGGCAGCGGTGCAGCCACCTGTGGACAAGCCAGGCAGCCCGCCCCGACGTCGTCTTCATCAACAGGCTGGTGACGCCGCGCGCGCCGCGTGCCGGGAAGGTTGGTTCACGGTGGCGAAACAAGCAGCGCTGCCAACAACAGTCGCCCGCCCACTGCGAAAATTGTGCACTTTGTAAACCTCACGTCTTACAAACCAAAGTACATACCAAAGTATTTTGAGCATACGTTGAGCTTACAAAGGAAACACCTCGTCATTTAGCAAGGCACTCACGGTCACGGTAAAGATAAATCAATTGACCACACATGTTACGTACTTTTCCTGTACTTTTATCTGCCGGTGTGGATAGATAGTTGTCGTACCGATGTCGCAATGAGCGAATTGCCCTCTCGGGTGAATCATCATCCTCTGACAGCTGTCCAAAATGAATCAGAGCCGCGGCGCGGATTCGGTGGTCACTTCCTGTCCGACGGGTAGGTCCACGACCGGTTGGTTCTTTGTCATCCAGATTATGGACGTCAAACTGGCAGCCTACGAAACAAATGCATCGAATTTCGCTGTCATAGATGAGTGTTACACCAAAAGACATCGTCAACTCTAGATGCTGAAACGGCCAGACATTTTTCTGGTGTATCGAAGGTTATCGGGGGAGAAAAAGTAATCTCTGGACAAAAGCTGTTTTCCTGTGTGTGCTAACCCTGAACACGTGGCACGCGTTGAAAGTGTTTACACCGAAACGTGTGTCTACGCCGTGCATGCAGTGTACACACGGTAACAGCGCGCACGTGCGTGTGTGCGTGTGTGTGTGCGCGCGCTTCATTGACTGCCCACCATGCCTGTTACTCGTGTGTGTACTCCACTGTCATTCACGTACCAGCCTCGTGCGCGCAGCGCATAGTTTTCACGCCACTAGGTTCAGAGATTCTAATACCTGATATAGCAACATCGCCATAAAATTACTTCAGCTTTACGGTTTGGGGATCGATTCCATACTGTCATGTGCTGGTTTGTTTCGTGGCCCCCAAAAGTGTCTCGACCGTGTCGTCCTAATCACTGCGTCTGAGTGAGAGAGAGAGAGAGAGAGAGAGAGAGAGAGAGAGAGAGAGAGAGAGAGACGTGCCTTGTTTGGGTGCGGCGGGATGGACGTGGTGCAATGGCATGGGCGACCCGTTACAACGTTAGGGCTTCCCAGACTGATTCCGAGCGGCAATTTCGTCGCCCTGTCTCTCTCTCTCTCGCACTCATGGGGCCTCTCGTTGGAGTGCGAGAGGGAAGGCGAAGCACCGTTCCGGAATCAGTTCGCAGGGAGGGCGGGGTCGCCGACGACGCGGCTCGGCAGTGCAAAGGACGAGGACCCCACATCGAGTCGCTTGCGAAACAGGCTGCCACTGTGTGCGTTTGCGTGTGTGTCTGTGTGTGTGCGTGCGTGAGCGCGCGCGCTGCGTACGTACGTCGTGCACCTAGCAACGCAGAGTGCATCAGACCAGTGGCGCGGGGGATTTAGATACAACAGGATTTCCACCGCGATAAGCCAGCCAACCGGAGCGAAGTCCCTGTTCCGTCCGAGTCGCGTCAGTGCCCTCTGTCCGTGCCTTCAAATGGAGACGGTCCCGCTCCTTCGGGCCAGACGTCCCGTCCTGTGGTGCACCCTGAACCTCAACCGAAATCTGTGTGAGTGCGACGAACCTCGGTATCTCCTTGCGCAAGTCTACCTAGCCGCCCTGCCGGCATGCCCTACGTAGTGGCACGATAAGCCCTCTTGATGGATGAACTTGGAGTGACAACCGGGCTGGCTGGCTGGCTGCTCCGCTCGTCGAGCAGACAGACACCAGAAGATACTGAGTGGCCGCTCCGCGCGCTGACTGGCGCTGACCGGTGATGTCAGTGCTGTGCAGTGCCGTGGTTGTCCCCTTCCTGGAGGTGCCGGCCTGGCGGTGCCGGCCTGGGTGCCGCCGCCGAGCACTTTGGACGCAGGCTGCGGCCACCGCAGCTTGCTGTCTCTCTCGCACCCGCGGGGAAGACCGAGCTCGAGAGACGTGCCGCGGGAGTGGCCCGCGCATTTCAAATTCAAGGCTAGACTGCTGCAGGCCGATTGGGAGTGTCTCTCTCGCACTCGCTGGGCGTCCCGCCCGGTCGTGCTGCAGCCAATGAGCAGCCTCCCTTTTGGCGGGAAGACTAAATCGGTCCGGCCGGTCGGCGTGCGTCAGGCGTCGCTGCCGCGCCCCGTTTTAAATAGCCTCGCTCGAGGATAGCTTTGGTGCGGGTTGCGGAGTTTCGGGCGGCGCGCCGGCCGCCCCCTTAGGCCCCTTCCCACCCCGGGCCCTGGCGGGGCCCTCGGCGGGGCCCTCGGCCGGGCCTTGACCACGGCGTCGGCGCGCCTTCCTGGCCTTCCCCCGCGGGGGCCTCGTGGGGCCCACGGCGCCCATGCCCCATCGATCGCCAGTCGCTAGGTGGACATGTAGACCGCCTGGAAGCCCGTTGGAGGGCCGTAAGCCGGACTGGGCCAGACAGGGTCGGTATGGCCCGGCCGGCCCGGCCCGCTGGCCCGCCACCATGCCGGCCGCTCAGACCGCTCAGACGGTGCAGTGCCTCCCCCCCTCCCCCTTTCGTTACCTGCACACGACAGAGGGCTCCACGGTCGATATTCCCCGTCGGGTCGTGACCGCTGCCTGGCTGGGGTCCTCGCCGACCCGGCCAGGCCCGGCGTCCCCGCGGGCCACCAAGAGGAACGAGGAAAATTGGGACGGTCAGTGTTCGAACCGCGGAACCCGCGCGCCCCGAGCGGAGAGAGAACCGCGCATTTTCCGTTCCAGGCTGTGGAATTTTTCCTTGGCCTCGTCCGTTTCCTCGGACCTCCTCAAGGCGCCGGTTCGGCTCGGCGGTTTCCCGACGACGCAATCCTCCATTATGTTGAGCCGCGCCAATAGACAAAACCCCACCCGGAAAAAAACAACAACAAATAAAAACGGAGTCACCTGGCGAACGATATGGAAACACGGTTCCAGGCCGGGCGGCCCAGCCGGTCCACGCGCCGCGCCACGCCGCACAACGCCACTGTAGTGAATCGCCGAATCGCCCCGCCAAAGAGCTCCCGATAGCACGCTAGCACACGCACGGCACCTTTCCGTGCGCAGTGAAAACGGACGCCTCGTGGGGCACGGCCAGCACGGCACGGCAACACGCCAATGGAAAATGGCGAACCGTGGCCAATCTGTTTTATAGGGGGTGGGGCTGGCTTTTCGCGTGGCGCCTTGCCCAATGACCACACTGTGAAACAGACAGTCCAGGGGATTTTCCAGCGGACAACACTCAGAAATCCCTAAAGCAGTCCCTCTTGGGGGACCCGGTCGGGGCTAGCTGGATGTCAATCCTTGGTGACCAACTTGCTGCAGGTTAATGTGGGTGAAGAGCGTTTGATGTAGTTTTTCGGTTGGCCGCGTCGATGTGAATCTGGAACTTCGATCTACGGCGATTTAAAAATGCCACGGTGCTGTTTTTGTTGTGTCCAGAGCCGCGCGGGGCCCCCAGGTTCGTGTCGGCACGCGCCTCTCTCTCTGTCTCTCTCTCTCTCTCTCTCTCTCTCTCTCCTCTCTCTCTCTCTCTCTCCCCGCGCGCCACGGCCAACACTGTGGCCACTCCGTCATTCCGTATTCCATGTTCGATTCGAATCGATGCGCCCCAACACTGCGCCCAATCGTTTTAATGGTTCCCATTGTACTCTTCGGGCCTCGGGTACGAGCCACCCACTCCAACCCAGCAATAGTTACGTGCGTCCACAAGTTTCCTTATCGTAGTTTATTTAGTAGAGAAATTAGTCACCCGTCTGTAAAAAAAAGAAGATTTCTTTTAAAAAATTACGACGCATTTATCAACTTTTGCAACTATTTGGGAATAGGAAACCGTGAAGCGGTCAGAGCAAAGCGGCGAGCCGTGGCGTGACGGGGCTGAAGTGGCGGCAGGGTGGAGCGAGCGGGCCGGTCGGTAATGGGAAAATAATGGAAAGATCTTGATACGGGGCCGTGCTGGAGGTGAGACAGAGGTTACACCAGTGTGGTGGTTGGTTGCTTGGTTGCCTGGTGGCAGGACTAGCCCCGTGGTACTCTGTCGCCAATTGGCCAGGGAAACAAAACCGAGAGGCGAGGAAAACATAGGAGGGGCTCGTTAGGGCCCGCTTTTAACACGCCGGTGCCAACTCATTCACTAAGTCTGGCTGGGCCGGGCCGGGCCTAGCTCGCGCCCCTCGCGCCACGCGGCGGTGGCGTCAGCCCGCGTCACTTACCCGGGCTTAACATCGTTCAGTCTTTTATCACCGCCGTCCTACGAACCAAAGCGGTTACGAAACAAACGCCCCCTTTGTACATTGTAGAGGACAAGGCACGTGATTGCCACGGGGACCCTCTCAGTCCTTGCAGCACGCCAAAAAGAAAATTTAAGAGTTTCAAAACTAATTTATCACATTTTAAACTTGTGGAAAAAATGGACGCACATTTTTTCCTCCAATTCTAACCTGGAATTCGAGATTTTTTTTCATCCGTTCGTTTGATATTTGCCCATTGATACGCAGTCGCTGGAAGAAAGCTTCCCTGTCCTTCTCAAAGGTAGCAGATGCTATCGTTCCAAGAGCTCTTTCACAGATAGCACGTCTACGCCCACGCTTTTTTTTTTGAAAATTTTTTGTTTACTATTTCTACATTGCACTCGGCGCGTTTGATTGCCGCACCTCGATGTCGCGCTATCATTCGCTATGACGGCCGAAAATCTTCTCCTAACAGTGATAGCGAAATGTGGAAAACACATCCGCGCTCGACAACAGCCTATCTGCCCAAACGCTCCACCTTGATAGGCTGCGTGCGCGCGCACCTCGTTTCGATTGCGAGAGAGAGAGAGAGAGAGAGAGAGAGAGAGAGAGAGAGAGAGAGAGAGAGAGAGAGAGAGAGAGAGAGAGAGAGACGCTAGGTTCGCTCTGGTCCCGCGGTGCGACGGAGAGCGAGCGAGCCGACTCGGGCCGCCACAGCGTCGCCACGGAAGCGTCAGGACGTCACGTTTTCCTTGCCGAAATGATATGGCGCGAGATAAGCGGCTCGAGTGTTTATCGCGAACCTGCCGACTGATCAGTCGCCGCGTCGCCGCAGCGTGCGAGCCGAGCGGGCCAATCCGCCGGGCCAATCCGCCGGGCTTAGCAGCGCCTAGCAGCGTGCGGTCGAAAGTCGAAGCACGGTAACGTAGAGCGGAGAACAACGCGGAAAAATAACGAAAGCTATCGGCAGCTGTATTCCGGCCCTGATTGCTTTGGGCCCAACCCTCAGTTCGTTCGACCCTGATTACTTTAGGGCACAACCCTGAGTTCTTTTGATCCAACCCTGATCACTTTTGGCTGGACCCTGATTACTTTTGACCCGACCCTGATTACTATTGGTCGGTCCCTCCCGACACCCTAATTACTTTTAACCCGATCCTCTGTATTGTTGGTCCGACCCTGATTTCTTTTGATTCCAACCCTGATTACCTGCCCGGTTCGAGTACCATTCAGCGACTCTGGAGCTCAAAACGCGTCTTTGTCCGCCTCCACCGGTCTTCTGGCAAATCCACTGTGCGGCGTGTCGAACGGCGTGCGAGTCGCGACGCTTCCGGGTTCCGTTGGGAGGAAACACGCTCCGATCCGATCCCGTTGGCGGGCTGGGCCGGGCTGTGCCGGGCCGGGTCGAACTGGGCGCCACGTGTGCCGCTACTCCGGACTGTCGGTTCAGATTTCGGCCCTGTTTTCCACTTTTCGGCTGTAAAGTCGCGCAAAGCGGCGCAAAGCGAGGCGGCGCGAGGCCTGCACGCGACCCGCCGCGGACTTAATCTCCGGAGACAACGACCCGCCAACAGGGTAATCACAAGGTGTGGAGCCGCCTCGTGTGCTGCCGGTTTTGTTTTTGTTTTTGTCTTTTTTGCGGTCTTTGTTGTTGTCTTTGCTACCCTGGCCTACGCGGCGCTACGCCTGACTACGCGGCGACCCCGGCTGACACGCCGCCTTATCGCGTTGCAACCTTGACGGATGCCCGCCTCGCCCGCCTCGGTCTCGCCGAGATGAATCCATTCTTTTTAATCGGCTAAACTCTTTCATTGGCGGGAAATGAATCACAGCAGCGCGCCGCCGCGCTGAAAGTGGGCCATAGGCAGACGTGCCGTGCCGTGCCGTGCCGTGCCGTGCCGTGCCGTGCCCGCTGCGGGCAAAGCGACGAGATGGCGGAGATAGAAGGAGAGAGAGAGAGAGAGAGAGAGAGAGAGAGAGAGAGAGAGAGAGAGAGAGAGAGAGAGAGAGAGGGAGGGACGCAGCGAGACGCGCAACGCCCGACCTGAATACTGACCCAGCGAGAAATGGCAGCCGGGAGACGTGAGCGCGTTCAGGCGGCGGCCTAGCGGCGGCCCGGCCCGGTGTATTGGCTCGGGTTGGCGTAGGTCAGGGTTCCGCGGCCCCCAATTCGTTATCGGTGGCGACCCACAGTGGGCCAGAAGATCGGCGGAGGCGGTCAAAACTCTAGATGAGTTAGATGAGCTCCAGAGTCGCTAGATGGGACTCGAACCGAACGTGTCACCCCACCAATGGATTGCTCTCTGAACGAGTCCCATTTAGCGACTCTGCAGCTCAATAGCGTTTAGCATTTTGGCCGCCTCCACCGATCTTCTGGCCCACTGTGCGGGCTTCCTGCGAGGAGGACGACAAGTGCTGGAAAATGGGTCTGAAACCTGTTTCCTCTCGGGCTTCCTGCTCGTGTGTGTTGCCGTTTCCGAGACCCGCGTCCCGAAAGCGCCCGACGAGGTGCAGATAGGCCGGCCCGTCGAGCGTGGGCGTTGTCCGGGTTGCCTACCTGGCAGGCGCCCTCGTCCTTGGCAGGCGGCCACTTCCGTGATGAGACTTTTACCGCGATGGCGCAGCCACGGCGTAGCCCCGCCTAGCCTCCTAGTCTAGCTCGGCATAGCGCTGGCACGGCGCGCGCTGCAGCGGCCCGGCTGGCACTTCGTCGAGTCACCGCGAGGGGTGTGCCTCCTCATACTCATTCCCAGCAGGAGGACTCCGAGCAGAGTCCCCCCGTCTCTCTCGCGGCCCTACGGGACGCCCCGCGAGTGCGAGAGAGACGAGGCGGCGCGGCCGAGAGCGGGGGCAAGAACGTGCAATCGAGCGGCTGAAACAAAAATGAGAAATTAGTCGGCAGGATGGCCGGCCGGGCGATCCTCGTCCTTGGCCACGAAAGGCCGCAGTGGGCGATTGGGGCACGAGGACGCGCAGCCGGCCGGCGCGCCGTGGGAGTGCGAGAGAGACGGAGCGACTGGGCCGTGCCGGCCGTGCCATGGCCGCGGGGCGAAGCACGCCCAGGCACGCCAGGGACTGCACCGCCTCCTTGGGCCTCCGGGGCCGCGAGGCGCCAACGCGTCGCTCTGTCTCTCTCGCACCCCACGGAACAACCCACGAGTGCGAGAGAGACAGCGTGAAACTGTCCGGAAGCAGCCCGCAGCCCGTCCTTGGCCTTTCCGCGGCCCCACCGCCGAAACTGGCGGCGTCCTCGGGGCGCGGGTTCGAACCCCGCGGCACTGCAAAACCGTTTTCCAGTGTGTGCCTCGCCTTGTCGCGGAGCGCGTGGTTCCGACGAGCACGATAGACTGCTGCACGGGTAATAGGCTCCCACACTGGTTCGACGGAAACGTACCGTTTGCGAGAGAAACGTGTTCGGGCGGCACGGCGGCACGGCGGCGGCTCCAAGACGAGTGCTTTGACAAACAAGTCGCACACTCCCACTCGTTGTTTTCCTCCCAAACAGTCAGACTGACTCCGAGAGTCGTCGCTCTGTCTCTCTCGCACTCGCGGCGCGTCGCGTATAGGTGCGGGAGAGACAGAGCGGCCAAAACGACTCTCGGAATCAGTCAACAGTCGTGCACCTTGGCTCTGGCTGATGACTTCTCCAGGAACAGCCAAAACAGTCTTGGAATGCCAGAGACTCCAGGTGCCTCACTGTGATGTTTCGTATGCACCTTGTTGGATGGATTTTACCGCACCTTTCGCCTACTTTCCATGTCAAAAAGCATTGTCAAAGACGGATACCCTTTCTCTATTGTCCACAGACAAGCTGGCCAAAACGGGGGCAGCTTCTACACTTCGCGCTTGTCTAGGCAGATAAGAGGAAGTCTCATAGAATAAACTTGATTAAGAAATGGGTCACAAAAACTGGGCTTCCTAAGCCAGCGTGACAAAGGGAGACCCCATTTCAGCACCTTTTCCTTGGAATGTTTTCTGGTTTCGTGAACTGTTTTTTATCTTGGTCGATTCCAAATGGCAAGATCGATATTGATTCGACTTGTCCCAGCAGACTCGTTCGGAACAGTGCTGTCCCTCTCACACTAGTCTGGAGCTCAAAACGCGTCCAGTTTTGGCCGCCTGCACCGGTCTTCTGCCCCACTGTGCGGAGCCAGGAGACAGAAGGCTCTTTTTGGCGTGCCACGGTTGACTGGTTGACTGGTGACCGGCTGGTGTTGCAACGACTCCGATTCTGTTTCAGAATGCCGACGCAGACGCACTCGCAGGCCATGACGGGCAGCACGATGCCCCGCGAGGCGCACCGCCCCTACCGCTTCGGCATGACCCTGCTGTGCTTCGGCGGGCTGCTCAACTGGGTCGGGCTGTTCGAGAACTACACGGAGCCCGTGCGCTACATCGGGGTGACCTGCGTCGTGTCGGGCGCCATCTTGCTGTGCTTCGCCATCTGCTGCTGGCTGCGGCCCGGCGCGCACCGCCAGAACGCCTGGGGGCAGGCGCACCCGCACGCCAACCCGGCCCTGGTACGCCAGCCCTGGGCCCAGCCGGGGGGCGGCCAAAACCCCGGACGCGTTTTGAGCTCCAGAGTCGCTAAATGGGACTCGAACCGACCGTGTGACCCCACCAGTGGATTGCTCTCCGAACGAGGAATCCATTGGTGGGGTCACACGTTCGGTTCGAGTCCTGCTTCGCGACTGTGGAGCTCAAAACGCGTCTAGAGTTTTGGCCACCTCCGCCGGTCTTCTAGCCCACTTTGGTAGGCCCAGCCCGCGCAAACGTTTCGACGACACCAGAAAAAGACTCAAAATCAAAGCGGAAAAGTGACGATTTCCTTTTTCGACGCAGGCGGGGCGCGACCCCGTGCACTTCATCACGCTGGAGCGGACGTCCTCCGCGGTGGCCGCGCAGTCGGCGCAGAAGCCGCCCGACTACGACTCGGTGACGGACAAGCCGCCGTCCTACGACGACGCCATCAAGCTGTCGCCCGCGCTGCTCTGGCTGGCCAACGAGCACGAGCGCCACGAGGAGGAGCTGCTGGCCGTGCCGCCGCCAGACACGCCGCCCGGCTCGCCGCCCGGCCACGCCTCAGGTGCGACAGAGACAGCCTGTCGCTCTGTCTCTCTCGCACTCGCGGGGCGTCCCGTAGGAGACAGTGCTCTCTTTCTCGCAGTCTTGCGGAACGCTCCGTGAGTGCGAGCAGAGACCGATATTGCCCAAACAGTGCCCGTCGTTCTGTCTCTCTCGCACCCCCGCGGTGCGGGACGCCCCACGAGCGCGAGAGAGACACGGACAGAGAGAATAATCGGCCTGCAGACTCTGGAAAGTTCGGATAAAGCCGGACAGGCCGAGACCGGACAGATTCGTTAGCGCCTTACGGTCTTACACTGTAGCCACCCGGGGCGGTTAGGAACGTGTTATCGACGCGGTGCCTCGCCTCGCGCCCTCGCGGTCTCTGGCGGAGACTCTCTGCGGACACCACTTTGTAGGTCGGCCAGTGGCTTGCGCCCAGCGCGTGTATGGGCCACTGTCCAAAATCACTCGCAGCTACAACATAATTTAATTTTTATTTTTCCAAAATTCGACTGATGGAAAAATTTTTCCTCTGCAATTTTTGCCTTACTGTTGAAAAAATATTTGATTAGTGGAACTTTAAACAGTTTTTTTGCTGTCGAAGGAAGAAGGAGGCAGTAGGTTTTTTGCTTTTACGGTGTACTTACCTGTGCTCTCCGTGCAGGCGCCTTGCTGCCCAAGTCCCGCGGCCAGGACGACGAGCTGCGCGTGTCCGAAGTGGACGAGGCGCCGTCGTCGCCGTCCCCGCCGCCGCGGCGGCCCAGCCGGGCCTCCAGCTCGGCCTTCGCCGCCAGCAGCAGCAGCGAGGCGTCGCCCGCCGCGCCGAGGGCCTCCACGTCGTCGAGCAGGACGACGACCAGGACGCCCACCACCAGGACGCCGGCCCCCGACGGCACGTCCTGCTCCGCGGACTCCGAGCCCTTGGCCAGGGCGTAGGCCGGCCGTCGGCACTGCAGGGAGTGCCGCGAGAGGGGGGACGCGGCCACTGGAACTGGCGGTCCCCCCTCCCCCCAACCAAAAAGAAACCCCCCATGCACAGGGTGGAGAAGTCCAATGGACCCTAAAAACAGCTGTGTGGGCACTGTCGGACTGGCCGGGGTGCACCAGCGCTTCGCTTCGCCGCGTTCGAGTCTCTTCGACCGAAGGGAGACCTGCGGCACGGCGACACGGCGGCACGGGCCTGGGCGACGCAGTGGTTCGCCTCGCCCGCACCGCACCGCCCCGACAGCTTCACCGCCTTTACGAGCTGAAGCCTGCTGCAGCAACGGGGCGGCCCAGAGCGGTGCGGCGAGCCTCGCAAGCAACACTGTGCCATGAGCAATACGTACTTTTTATGATGATTTGAGTTTCGTTGCGCACACGCGAAAATGCTAGTCTTTCAATATAGTGAAAACATTCCACTTTCGCAGACGGGAACCCCCGCGGGCGGAAGGACTTACAAAACGTTTTGCAAACTAGTCATTGATTGTCGAGCGGGTGGACTGATAGAGGGTGTATCTTTTGTATTATAATGTCAAAGTATCGATACATGAATGTGATAACGGGCCATGCCTGTAGTGAAGCAGTCACTGTGTTATTTTAGTGCATTCTCAGACTGCAACCCCTGCAGTACGTAGGGTAGCCTGACCCGTTGAACGTGCCTGCCTGACTGGTTGCCTACCTTCCAGGTGGTCAAGCGCACAACAATTATTCATGTTGCTAAGCTTGGATTTATTTTTCAATTTTTTGTGATCTTTGTGGTTCCGAGTAAAGCGGCTTTCCCCACCTCGCTTTTGCAAATTTTTGAGCATTGCATATTATTTTGACCGCACTACAGTAACCCTTTGAGAAAGAACAGGTTTCTCACGTGTTCCTCAGCTCCTCCATTGTCTTAAATAGTCGCTTCTTGAAATTGTGATAGCTTCTCACGATAGCAGCAAGCCTGTTGGTGAGAATGCACAAAGTAAAATGATCGTGTTGTGACTTGAGTTTGGTATATACTTGACATGTTGTTTTATTTTTATAATAAATGGACTGTTTTTCTGACATTGTGCCACAGCAAAGAAAATTATTCCAAGACCCTTTTAAAATGCATCCATTCTATTTACAACACAAATTGTTGAAAGCACAGAACATGTAAAAATGTACAAGAACAAAAAAAAATTACATGATTCTCTTAACAATATAAAATAACTTGCATAGAAAAATACAGAATGGACAGAATCCTGTCGAATATACATAGAGTCCTCTTCTACTACTATTATTATCATTAAAATAGCATAAATTGATTTTTAAAAGTTGGGAGAGGCAATAAAATAAATAATTATAAAATCAGACTTAACTTTTGCTGTCTGGTTTCCAACTGAGGCTGGCCTACATTAGAGATAATTACTTCATATTATTTTTTAGCTTTCTATAGTTCAATTATTCTTTTGTGTTGACAATCAAATCCCATTAATTTTGCATTTGATTGAAATAAGTAAAGTCAAAGATTTCTGAGGGCATCTTACAATTAAAATAACACACATAGAATAACAAATGAAGATAACAAAGTGGTCAGCAAACAAAAAAGCAAATGACAAGAGAGGATCACACAGGCGTTTCATAAAGACTCCATTCATATCTGTCAGAAGTTTTCTACAAGCATCAGGACATGCAAGCTGTTCTTTCAGACAAATAGAAGAGGAATTTTAAAAAAGAATTCACTGAAAGAACCGACACAAACTAGGACGGTTCAACAGCACATACAATCAAAGCACACTTGGACGAGATCAACTGAGTGCCAGATTGTCTTTGTAGCAGTGCCAGGAATGGGGCTATGCTTCGACGGCAACCTTCTCCTTGTGCCTGCTGACCTTTTCCTTTTTCTTTGCGGCTGGAAGTTACATAGATATTATTACACAGTTGAAAAAACGTTTGAAAAAACAAACATCGAACTCTAAAGAAAAGAAAAGGAACACAAGATTTTAAACTACCTGCACGTTCTTCTGGATCCTCAGACGGTACATCTGGAAGCTCCTCCATATCTTCATCTTCAGTTGCGGCTGGTTCAGCCTGTTTTGTCTGCTCTTTGATAATACTATCAAGTTCAGCCAAAACATCCTCCTCATCTTGATCGCTGAGTGCACCACTTATCATTTCATCAATCTCCTGCAAAAACAGGGGTTAGCTTAGCCAAAACAATAAAAACCTGACTGAAGAGGTAGTAGACACACAAATCCAAACGAACCTTCTGTTTTTCCACGCCTTCTCGAGTCTCATCCATGATTTGTTCGATCTCATCAATACTAAACACAGCATTAGCTTTCTTCAAAGCTTCATTACCGATTCTGAGACCATCAATAACCTGAAAAGAAATTGTAAATTCAAAGCAAGGAGTGAAAGGAAAATAGCCACAAACAAGTAGATTATGTACACAAAACTTGGCACATACTTGTGTTTCAATGACAGCGAACTCCAAGTCATGCGTAAGCTTCTCCAAGTTCTCCAATTGACTATCCGCAGTTGACAGAAGCTGCTCCTGGTATTTCTTTTTACGAAGTATAAGCCTCGCACGACTGAAAGAACAACACGGAAGGTTATCAACACAATTAACAAATGAAGCAAGTTGTTGACACTCCAAGTACAATAAGGACTCACTCTTTCTTTCCATCACGTAGAAGTGTACGAGCAATCTCTGTGTCCTTATCTAACGTGCTCTGAATACGTTTCTGGTAAAGTTTCAGTTTGTCTCTTTGTTGTTTTAATTGCTGGAACGAAGGGTAGAACAACAGTAGAACATCAGATAAACATATGAGGTTAGAATAAATATCGAACATGACCCCAGAATAGAGTCTGACGCAAATAGAGATTCCAAATAAAATATTTTCTAAATGAATGACATATGCATTTAATAACATACCAAAATAGCTCTGTCCTGTTCTGTCACCCGGCTTTTAACCTTCTGCTTTCCGAAAATGGCTCCCATGATGAAAACCAATGAAACCAATAATCGAAGCAAAGTTAATCAGGATTACATTAAATCCCTTCGTGGAATGTCAAAGAAATGATACAGTTTCTGCAGTGGACAAACTGAAGCAGATGACAACCTAACCTAGTCGACGATGTAAACACAGCGCCTGCTAGAAAACGCCCCATTTTGCCACAACTTTGTGTTCGAAACAACAAGAAAAAAATGTTGACATGCCAGAGTTTTTGTAAGAAAAAGGCACCGAAAATTAACTCTTTTTAAACAGTTTTAAAAGAATATTTCAGTGATTCATTCTTTTTTTCTCCCTCCTTGGTGAAGGTTGAAAGGTGTAAGCGGAAGCATTTGTCATTATAGGTTGGTACTAAAAACGACGGTCTTCTTTACACTTGTGCCAACCGAAAAGTTAGTGGTGCCAACCGAATCTTCCCCCACCACCGCCCACGCCCAACCCACCGTTCAGTACTGCCAGAGTGATACCGTTAACATCGAGGAGTTCTAGAGGTAAGCAGTTTCGAACCGTAACATAGTAATTTCTACTGTAGGAGCCCATCCCAAACCCCTGTTTCGAATTCCAATGCATGTTGTGGTTGATGATACTTATTTATTATTCTTCGTGCTGCGGTGTGATGAAGTGTGTGGGGATTGCGATAACAAAATCATGTATGCCTTTTCTTTAGCTCCATCAAAATATTTTATTTCCATCAATTCCAAATTATAGATAGTTTTCATAAATTCTACCTTTTAAACACAGCAAAATAAAGTTCTAGATCTCAGGTAGCCTTAATAACTGCAGGCCTTTCTTTGAGGGCTTCACCTAAATCACTCAAATTTAAAAGATGTAAACTTTTGGCTACATTTGTTTCTGCTCAGCAGTGTTGGCTTCTCCATGCTCTTTGGAGCTTCTCATCTTTCAACGATGAATATGCGCTACCTTACAATAAAACATACATCACAGGGACAGCAATTATTAAAGAAAACAATACTTACAAATTTAATTATCACTCATGAGCAAATACAAGGTCAAATGCTTAAAAGAAAATGCATTGATAAATTTTCTCATTGCATGCACATGGTCACAGCCCTAGTCAAAAGAATGTTCACACATGTTTCGGTTTGAATCAAAGTGAACATAAATGCAGTGTTGATAAAATATAGACTCTGTAATAATTCCAAGAACTTTGTGTTGGTAACTTAACATCTTCTATTACCATCTATTTTTAAAATAACTAAATTTTGCTGATTTATATTTTAAAATGAAATGAACATGTTTTGGGGGGTCAAGATTGTGTGTAGCCATTTTTCTAAAGCATGTAATATTCCTAATGATTATCATTTCACACATGGAGTCACTGGAATGTGACAATGCAAGGTATCTCACCTTAAGAAGCAGGATTATGTTACACCAAGCTCTGCGCACTTGGAAGAACCAAAAGGCTATTCTAGGACACAATTTGTTTTCATGAAGAAAACGTATAAAGACAACCACTTGAAACAAAACATTTGTACTTGCTAGTGAACATTTACACATGACTAAAGCCTAATAGCCTCTAGTTTGAACTGCTTGGCTTTTTAACTTGAAGCTGATATGGTACTTCCCTCCTTCCTGAATGAGCCACCCTTGTAGACAAGAGGTAGAAGAAAGGTGACATGAGGCAGGGATCACCTCTCCAAACATTGTGATGATTCTAAATTTTCTAAACACTACACATAGAGAAAGATAAAACACAACACTTAAATTTTGAAAACAATAAATTGAAAAAGGAGCACATTTTAAGTGTGCACTCACACATTGAAAATCTGGGAACAAAAATAGAGCCAGGGTCGGGCTTTTTCCATTAGTACTCTTAAATTTTCACTGAAAAATAACGTGCTTGCCAAGGCGCTCTCCTACAGCCCCTCGTGCTCGTGCTCCTCGATGGGCTCGGGGGAGCTGACGGGGCTGCAGGCCGACGTGGACATGGGGCTGAACAGCAGCGCTCTGTACTCGCCGTCCGCGTCGGCGTCCGCGTCGGCGTCGCCGTCGCCGTGCCTCAGCGCGCCCAGCGGCCCGTTGAAGGCCATGTGCTCCGTCGGCGAGCTGGACTCGTCGCTCAGCGGCCCGCTCAGGGGGTCGGCGGCGTCCTCGTCCTGGTCGCGGTACCGGATGCGCCGCCGCCAGCGCCGGTGGTGGCCGTCGTTGACGAGCGCCGACGCGGAAGTGGAGTGCTGGATGGCGCTGGTGGGGGTGGCCGGCGGCGCGCCCTCGCTCTCCTCCGAGAAGGCCCTGGTGATGAGGATCCGTGGCGACCGGCGCGTCACCGAGGCCAGCAGCAGCGACGGCGAGTGGCGCGGCCCGCGCACGTTGTTGGCCCTGGAGGCCTTGTTGGCGGTGGCGTGCGGCTTGGCGTGGCAGTGGCCCAGCACGCGCTGCACGAACAAGCTGCCCCCCGCCACCCCCGCGCCGGCCAGGCTGGCTGCGCTGCCCCCGCGCGGCGCCGCCCCCGGCCACACGCCGTTGCCGCCCGCCGCCGCCAGGTCGCCGTTGCTGGCCACGCTGGGGATCTGGAAGTAGCAGACCGTGGTTAGGCACTGTAACGAGTCCCACACCTCCTGGGAGAGTCTGAGCTGGTGACAGACCTGGAGCGTGTTGGAGCTGTGGTGCCAGCCGTCCTTCATGGAGCCGGACCTGGGCATGGCGGGCATGCCGTGCTGCTCGATGCTGTTGAGGGACCGGCCGAGCAGCCAGTGCCGCGGCCGCCACATGGAGCCGGCGTGGAGGCCCTGCAGCGCCTGGAGGCCCTTGAGGTCGGCGGCGAGGCGCTGGAACTTGGAGCCGCGGGGCGAGGCCGAGCCCACGCTCACCGACGACCGGAGCGGCTCCAGGACGATCTCGGACAGGCGGCGCTGCAGCGTGGAGGAGCCGTGGCCGAGGCCGTGGTTGCCGTTGAGGCCCGCCAGCCCGCCGGACATCGCCCCCGCCACGCCGCTCGCCCCCGCCACGCCCGGAGTGAGCGACGGCCGCCGCGACCCGCACGTCGACGGCGTGCGCGCCTGGATCTCCTGGTTCACCTCGCTCTTGGACATCTGCTTCCGCCAGTAGTTCTGGATCGTCTTGCGGAGAACCTGGAGGCCAAAGGCGGTATGCATTTACAAACAGAAACGAAAAACGCATCACGTCGGGAAAAGTTTTCAGAGCCCTTCCAGAAAAACTGAGGCTGATTGCAGGCAATGCTTGTCTCTCTCGCGCTCACGGCGCGTCACCCAGGGCTTCTAGGGGTGCGAGAGAGACAGCTCACCTTGTTCTTGACGCCGTACAGCAGCCCGTTGACGGGCGGGCTGCAGGTGATGAGGCAGATGGCCAGCGTGGTGATGTGCGGGTGCGGCGCCTTGACGGCGTGGCTGGCGGCCAGCGCGTCCCAGAGGATGAGGCCGTAGTACGGGAAGTACAGCAGCACCAGCGACCCCAGCAGCTGTGGCGACAACCAGGAACGTCAGGGCAGCGGTTCAAAACCTTTTAGGGTCATGTTTCTTTTTTGTGCCTGGGGTTGAGTGTGGTTGCGATGTCTGTCAAGCCAAGAGCATTTCTCCACGCTAAGAGCGCTTCCCCAGGTCAAGAGAGCACTTCCTTCAGGGGAGGGGGCAAACTTAACCCTTGAACCTTTACCTGCAGCACCGGGCACAGGGCGGAGCGGCTCCGGAACTTGGCCGCCGCTGCCGCCGCCACCGCCGCCGCCGCCCCGGGGCTGATGCCCGGCGGGCCCTGCTCGCCCTGCTCCGGGTTGTAGCCCGGCGCGAAGGGGTTGCGCTGGTGCGTGATGGTGACCTGCGCCGACAGCGTCACCTCGAAGATGGCGGACGCGATGCGGTGCCGGTGGTGCCGCGCGATCATAAGCACCTGCGCGACGACCGCCAAAGTTAGCAAATCGGAGCGCAGTGGGCCAGAATCCCGGACGCGTTCTGAGCTCCAGAGTCGCTAAATGGGACTCGAACCGAACGTGTAACCCCACCAATGGATTCCTCGTTCGGAGAGCAATCCATTGGTGGGGTCACACGTTCGGTTCGAGTCCCATTAAGCGACTCTGGCAAAACGCGTCCGGGATTTTGACCGCCTCCTCTGGTCTTCTGGCGACTGTGCGGTGTTCCCACAGGGAGGCCAAGGTACCTTGAGGTTGCACACGAGCACGATGGTGGCGGGCAGCAGCAGGGTGGCGGTGGTGTAGATGCCGGCCTGCAGCACCGGCCCCCACGGCGGCCAGGACGGCCATGACGGCGGCCAGGACACGGGCCTGGGGCCGCTCCAGGACTCGGCCTCGGCCGGCCTGCCGCCCTCCGAGGACAGCGTCAGCAAGGACGGCGGCGGCCCGCACGACGGCAGCAGCGCCAGCACGGCCAGCACCAGGGAGCCCAGCCACGAGGCCGCCAGCCCCCACAGCACCTTGCGCGTGCTCACCTGCAGGCAACGGCCCCTTGTCAGAAAGACTGCCAAAATCCATCTTGAAAGAGGAGAGGGGGTCACGAAGATTTGGGGCTGTTTTCAGCCGAGCCATAAGGAAAGCTCAACTCAGCAGTGCTGGTGCCTTCCCTACCTTGGCGCCGTAGTGCAGCGGCGTGGAGATGGCGAAGTAGCGGTCGGTGTGAAGTCCGCACAGCGTCCAGAGGGCCAGCGGGTGCAGCACGGACAGCAGGAAGCCGGGCATGGAGCAGGGGGCGGCGCGGGGCAGGCCGGCCAGGTCCAGCGGGAAGGCCTTGACGGGCCCCACCACCGCGCCGCCCCCGCCGCCCCCACACACGAGCAGCACCCCCAGCACCAGCCCCACGCACACGTCCACCACGCCCAGGTGGAGCAGCAGCAGGTTGTTGGCGGTGTGCACCTGCAGCATCGCGGAGCCGCGCGGAGCAAAGCGTCGGTGAGTCATTTCCCCCGTGGCCGATCCGGCAGAGTCTCAGCGAGCGGGACGGGCGGGGCGGGTTCGAGTCCCGGGGCCGCCGGTTCTGGTTTTCGCCGGGCGCTGCCGGGACCCGTTTCCATGCGGCCGTCGCCTTCTTATTGGCTCAAATCGAGGAGGCTGGACGTCGTGGAGTGTCACCCAGCAGGCCGAGAGTCGTTTTCGTCGCTCTGTCTCTGTCGCACTCATGGGGCGCCCCACAGGTGCGAGCGAGACAAAGCGACGAAAACGACTCTCGGAGGCAGTCTGCAGCCCAGCTATTTTCAATTCCGGTGTCCGGGCTGTCCGGGGCTGTCCGGGTCGGTCCGGAGCGGCCCCTCGTCCGGGACACCTTCCCCTGCTTAGGAATCTATCGCCGCCGCGCCACCACGCGCCACGTTCGAGGCAATAACATGCTAAACCTATTTGAGGTGAAGGACGACGGGCGAAAAATTACTTTGAGCGCCAAGCGACGAGCAAAGCGACGAGCGTGGCCAGGCTGCGACAAAAAAGGGGCAGGGCAGGGCGTGGCACGGCAGGGCGTGGCACGGCAGGGCGTGGCACGCGCACGGCTACCGCTACTCCGGGGACTGGAGCGCCGCGTAGCGCCTTCTTGCCGTCGCCGTGTACTCGGGGGTGGCGGGGTGGGGCGGGGCGGGGCGTGAGGAGAATTCCGTCCGAATTCTTGAGTCGCGGCGGCGCGCTGCATATCGGAGACCTGGCTCTCTGAAGGCTCGGAACGCGGAGATACCGCCGTCGCAACAACGAAAATAGGGCATGGCCCCTGTCGTCGTCGTCGTGTGGTTTTGGGAGTCATCTGTCCATTTCCAGTAGTTTGGTTGAGGTTCAGAGTGAAAAAAAACAACAGCATGTGGGGAAAAAATGGGAGGTGGGACTCCAGACTCACTCACTACCACACTGCTGGCCAACCCCGCGGCTGGGCAGGCCGAGGGACCGCCACGCCACTGCGAGCCAGGCCACTGCGAGGGCAACCACGTGCAGAATGTTTAATTTCCTTTGCTCACAGCGGCGGAAACTTTCTTTGTAATCCGGGGGTCCATACTCGCCGAGGTGGAGCGGGAGCACCAGGCCACGCCATGCTACGCCAGGCGGTCCCTGTCCCGGTCCGCCCCCCTGCCTTTTAATTTCAATTATTGTGTTTTCAGGGGAGCCTGCCTCCCTCATGTAACCTTTGAGCAAGTTTCGGCGGGGGACGGGGACAAGCGGCGGAGCAGTGAGCTCAGAGAAACAATTAATTGGGAGTGAAGACGAGCGGGGATCTCGCAACTCATTGGAATCGGAAATTATGCCAAAGACTCTTATCGGCGCCAAACGGAGGCAAACGAAAGCGCTCCGTTTGTTTTTGCTGCACTGCTTTGAAAATAAAATGTTTGGCCGGAAATTGGCGCGGCCCTCAAAGAGAGGCGCTCACCGGGCCCAGGACTGCCGACTCTCTCTCTCTCTCTCTCTCTCTCTCTCTCTCTCTCTCTCTCTCTCTCTCTCGCCCTCTGCGCTGCACCGGTCGTGCCGTAGCGAGCCGCATTTAATTAGATTTACGCCCTTGTGGTCCAGTGTGGTAGACCCAGAGGGGCGGCAGTTTGAAACTGCGCTAACGGTGCATCAGAGTGGCCGCGCGCGACCGCGCGACGCGCAGGGCGCTCTCTCGAAAATACGCCCCCATGCGCTGCGCTGGGCCCCACCGGGGGGTCAAACTTGGTGGAGGGTCCAAGTTCCCCCCCCTCTCTCTCTCTCTCTCTCTCTCTCTCTCACTCTCTCTGTCTCTTTCTCTCTCTCATTCGTTTCCGCCTACCGGACGTACTCGAAACACGGCTGAAATAATGAAACAGGACGCGAACTCTCACCGCTCCGGACCTCTGGCGGTGCGCCGTGGGATGTCTAGTCGTTGATAGTCGTTTTAATTTCACGTTTGTAATGTCAGTTGCACAGGCGCGGATCCAAGGGGGGGGCGATGGGGGCGTCGCCCCCCCCTGAAGGCGGCGAAGCCGCCTGAAAGGTAGGCAAAAAGTCGCACATTACCCCTGTAGGTAGGCAACTTTCGCGACGTCGCCCCCCCCTGAACCCGTCCCTGGATCCGCCCTTGCAGTTGCAGCAGCGCGCGCGCGCGCGCGTGTGTGTGTCGGGAAGTCATTCATACAAAACGCGGGTGATTATTAATTCGATATCGGTTTTCATTATATATTTTTTTTTCCCGGTGACGATAACTCGCGCCGCCTCGCCCACTTTCAGCAATTAAGCAAAATGACAGCGGCACAAAGCGACTCTTTGACGAGCTTTGAGGAGCGACAGCGATGTCACATTCCCCGGCGCGACGCGGAATCGGACGGCCGGGCCGCGTTCGCCGCGTTTGGGCCGAAGAATTCCGCTGGGCTCCCGGATTCCACTGGCAGCGTCACAGGCGAGGTCACAGAGGGCTGCCCTGGTGCGGCAGGGAAATGGGGAGGCACCCAAAGTCGTTCTGCCGAATGTTTCAGCGAATAAAGCGCGAGGCCGTCCTACGCTTCAGAAAGATAATATGACACTTTTCGACCGTGGCGCAGTGGGCCAGAAGACAGGTGGAGGCGGACAAAACTCTAGACGCGTTTTGCGCTCCAGAGTCGCTTCACAGGACTCGAACCGAGCGTGTGACCCCATCAATGGATTCCTCGTTCGGAGAGCGATCCATTGGTGGGGTCACACGTTCGGTTCGCGTCCCATTTAGCGACTCTGGAGCTCAAACCCGTCTAGAATTTTGTCCGCCTCCACCGGCCTTCTAGCTCACTGTGCGTGCGCCCGGTTACTGTTGGCATCCCTCACCTGCTTGGACAAGATGACGACCAGGATGATGTAGAGGTTGAGCAGCAGGCCCAGCACGGTGATGGCGGTCAGCGGGATGCCTAGAGTCAGGGAGCTCATCCCTCCCAGCGCGCGGAGCCTGGTTCGATCCCGCCCCCCGTCTTATTTTTATTTTTTGCCGTTCTCCTTAATCGCGGCGGGTGCATGGGGATGGCGCGATAGCGAGGTCGCCGAGGCGTGGTATCGGCGCTGGCCAGGCCTTGGGCCAGGCCTTGGGCCAGGCCGTCGACGCCGTGAGCGCGCCCGGGCGTGCGGCCAGACGGCCTAGGTGGGGCTGCCTGCGAGGCCGGGGCTGCCCGCCAGCCCTGTTGGGCCGGGGCTGAAGTTGTTGAGGTCGAAGCGGAGGCGGTGGCGTCGGCGGCCCGGCATCACGGCACCATGGCACCATGGCCGACCTGCAACAACCAACACACTGCTCAGTCTTTTCCCGCCACTTTCTGCCCTTTCTGCCACCTGTTGTGTCGAACGACTCGGCAGGGCCGCGGTGTCTTTCAGACCGGGCGCGGCGCCAGCCCAAGTCACGGTGACGGCGTGTATTCGAGGCAATACCAACAGAGGTAACACCACCCGCTTACAAGACAAAATTTATGAAGACTGACGGAGAAAACCTCCAAGTCAGCGCGATGACTAGAGAAACTAGACAAATTTTCCGTAAAAAAAGTCGAGTTACGCCTGTAGCTGCACCTCTGCCGTAATCGGATCTCGGGGCCGAGGCCGGTGGGGCAAATTGGGCGGCAGGGCGGGGCCTAATTAACCGAGCGGTAATGGGCCGAGGCTGCTGCCGTGCCGTGCCGTGCCGTGCCAGGCTGCTGCCTCGGCTCTGCCGCGGCCTGGATGGCCTCTGCCGGGACGGCCTCGCCGCGCTCCGGGATGCGTAAAGCGACACCTGCCCCGCGGTCCGCTGCTGGAGGCGGTGGTGGTGGTGGTGGTGGTGGTAGCGGTAGTGGTAGTGGTCGTGTAGTGGTGGTGGTAGCGGTAGTGGTAGTGGTAGTGGTCGTGTAGTGGTGGTGGTAGCGGTGGTGATGTCGGCGGTAGTGGTGGTGGTAGTGGTGCCGCTGCTGCTGCCGTGTCAGCTGCGTCCCTCAGGACTGCCGACACGGCCAAGACTGGCAAAGGACCGGCAAAGCGGAAAATTCAATCCCCTTGTTTGGTGTCTTGATCTGCTTCATTGATTGCGTTTCTTTCTTTTTCTTTCTTCGTTGTCATTCCGTTTCCACTTTTTCTTCTTTCTCTTCCGCTTTTAATATTAAAAAAAAAAAAAGATTTTTTTGTGGTACTTGCAATCTGACAACGCAACGTCTGCACGACGCGCCTTTAATTAAATCCCGAGTTGAACGCAGTGCGTATCACACCGTTAAATTAAAGGGTGGCGCGGAGCAAGGCCAAGCCGGCTCCCGGCGACGGAACGAAACGAACTGTGCTTTGCGGGCGACAGAGAGAGAGGGAGAGGAGAGCCCCTGCTGGGTAGGCAACGCGAGCACACCGTTGCGACACGAGTTGCCTGCTCGGCCATTACCATTACCATTAAGGGCGCTCGCCTCGGTCCATTGCTATTGAATGCTATTGCCGCAAATAACTGTTTTTCTTCTCGGATAACTCCCCCAAAAATTCAAAACGTGGGAGGGGGTATCCTAATTTTTGCGTGCGAAGCCTCTTAAGCTTGGACATCACATTTGACGGCTGGGGGAGCGGCCTTGGCCTTCAACACCTGCCGCCGCGCCAATGGACACTGCTGACGGTGCTGCAGGCTGTAACAGTGATTCCCTCTGTCTCTGTCGCGCAGTCCGGGATGGTCTCGGCTGTGTGTGTGTGTGTGTGTGTGTGTGTGTGTGTGTGTGTGTGTGTGTGTGTGTGTGTGTGTGTGTGATGCGTTAACGAGCGCTTGGCCGTGGAGACGGTCTTGACGGTCTGGTGCTGCTCGGGTGGCGGCGGTCGGCGGTCGTGCCGCCGTGCTGTAACAAGTGGAGCAGGAGGGGGAGGGGGCGCGCCGGGTCGCGGTCCGCAGGGACGCCGGGGACGGCGGGGATCGTGGAGGTGGAAGAGAGGGTCACTATCCGTAATCACCAGTCACCTGCCGCCGCCCCGGTCTCCCCGGTCGCCCCGAGGCACGCCTGTCGCACTCGGCGACTCTGCCTTGGCTCTGCCGACTCCCCTGGCGTCGCTCTGTCCCTCTCGCACCCCTACGGGACGCCTACGGGACGCCCCACGACGGCGACAGTGCGACGGAAGCCTAGTTGCAAATTTTCTGTGTTTGAAACCAACTCTGCGGAGTGTCGTTTACAGAATTGGACCAGGGGTTTAAGTGTGTATGTGTGTTGAAGCCTCCATCCAAGCTTCATCATCCCAGCCGACGTCTCGCCAGATACCCCCTATAAGCGGTTCCACGCCGACCCCAGCATGCCCCCGGGCGGCCCCCGCCCCCGCCCCGCCCCGCCCCGCCCCGCCCCGGGGCCGCGCTCCCCAGCGACAAGCTGGCGGTGTGTATCTTGGCGCGGTGAGGCGTGCGTGCAGCCCCCGCCATGCAGCGACTCAGGATTGAGATCCGATGTACCCGAGAAACCGGGTATGGAAAATTGCCCTCCCCACCCCTTTCTCCTCGTTTCCGTCGCCGCCTCCGCCTACCTCCCCTCCCCTCCCCTCCCCTCCCCTCTTCCGTTCCAGGCTTTTAACCTTCCGGCCTGCGCTCTGTTCTCCCGGAGCTAAAGGGTCATGGCGGCAAAAAGCTTTGTTTCGCTACGCTTTATTTTTGGAGGGAAAAGAAAGCTCTGCTCACCGCCCTGCCCTGCCCACGACGCACGGGCGCTGCGAAAGTCTTTGGGACGATCCTTGCGTGTGGCATCCTTATTCGTAACCGCGTCGTTTGGGCTCAGTTTTGCAGTTTTCTCGCGCAACCTCCCCGGCACAATGCGCTGTGAGGCGCCTCGGCGTTGGAAACGGGGGCACCGCCCGGCACCGCCCGGGGCGGAGCTGAAGCTGAACCTCGGCCACATCCGTTTCAACCGCAGCCTTTCAAATATGGTGCGGCGTCATCAAGACAAAGCTCCAACTTGGCGGAGCGGCGAAGCAGCGAGTCAGCGCAAAGAGGCCCGAGGCGGGACGGGCTGCGACGCAGAGAGAGAGAGAGAGAGAGAGAGAGAGAGAGAGAGAGAGGCCGGCGTGCATCGCACGACGAGGAAAAGTGTTCATCGTCTGCTCGTGTCTGGCACCGACAGGCGGTGACGCACGAACGGACGCAGAGGGGTTTCCAAGCGTCGAAACTCCTTGAGCGACACTCGAAAAGCAGCAACTTGCAGCGCGTTGACACGACACTCTAAACCTCAGCCCCGCCCCTCGGCCGCTACACTGAAAAACCAAACGTGGTCTAGACCGCATCATTGGTGTGGTCAAATGGATGCCATTTTGACCGCATCAGTTGGTGTGGTCTAGACCACACCAACTGATGCGGTCAAAATGGCATCCATTTGACCACACCAGTTGGTGCGGTCTAGACCACGTTTGGTTTTTCAGTGTAGCTACGCCGTCACTTTCTTCACCCGTCGGTCCGCGTTTCGCGGTGCGTTCTCCGTGCTCTCCGACCGGAAAGACCGCCAGGCCATGCCGTCCGTCGAGTGTAGTGATCCACGTTAAATTGGCGCCGCCGCTGGCGCCAGTAAATCTCACCTCACTCAAATTAATGAGGCATTAGCAGGTTGGCAGGCAACACACGTTCCGACGACAGGCGCTCGCTGTCTCGCTAATGGAAACATATCACGCCGACACAAGGCGCCCCGCCCGTCTCCCTCGCTCCCTTGAGCGATCCATGAGTGCGAGAGAGACAGAAGGACGGAACGGTTCCTCGGGATCCAGCGGCAGTCACTCCCCCCCCCCTTTTCCCCGGCTCACTTTCTTCTTTTGCCACTTGGCTCCCTTTGCCGAGTGTAGGCAACGCGAGTCCGCCCGCCTCTCCAGTCCTCTTCCATCCGGCCTATTGCCAATTTTCCCGACGTTTGGCAGATTCGACCGTATCTGCACAGCGACACGCCCACACTAGAAGTATGGCCGGATCGGCCAAGTATGGAGAAAATTGGCAATACGGTCGTACGGACGAGAGCGGAAGTGAAGGCGGAGCGGGGCAAGCGGAGAGCGCCTGGGCGGCAGGCAAAGCCTGGCACACGTGCGCGGCGTGTTGCCTACCCGGCACTTCACAGGCGTTTATCGCCGTTAAAAAACAACTGGAAAATCCAGAGAAGTGACTCCCGAAGATCTTTTGACGATTTCCGGCTTCGTTTTGAAATTTGTATTTAACAGGCCTTCTTCAAACTAAAATAGTGATGCTGGAATTTGCTTTTTTTTTTAACTTTCCAAAGATTAATAGGCTATTTTTTTGTTGATCAAGTTCACCGGAATTTTTCAAGTTTCTTTTTGTAACAGTGTTTCTGTCTTGTGTCTTCCCTTCTACTTCCGTGTCCCAGCCGCAAAAACACCTGCAGCCCCTCAAAAAAAAAAAAAAAAAAAAAAAAACATCAACAACAAAATACCGGAGAGCAGTGATCCATAGTGCGCGCGGTTTGAAATATTAATAGTGGCGTGACTCTATCCTCTCCGCGAGGCGCGTCGCGTCGCGTCGCACACTGTAGGTGCGCATCCATCAACTTGTTCGCTGTTTGGCACTGCGTGATGGATGGGTTGCCTTCCGAGTCCCGGAGTCTTAGTCTTCGGGTCTGGCTTTGGCAGCGTTGGCAGCACAGTGCGACAAACCCACCGAAAAATAAAATAAAAATAAGCAACAGAACGGGGAATAACTTGTAAAATACTTGACGTTTTACTATTTGACTCTGGCTCTCTCTTTCTGGTACTGCCCGCGCTGGACCTCGCGGCCGTGACGGCGGCCATGACGGAGAGCAAGGGGGGGAGGGGGAGTAAGTGGATAAGCGGAGCCACCCTGACGAGATGGGGGCAATTTTTGCCACGCGCCTCCCCCCACCCACGGCTGCACCCCCACCCTTCCCGTCACGTGCCTCTACCCTCCCCACTCTCCCGCCCCGTCGGTGTGGAAACAAATTTGGCGCTCTCATCAAATGCCGTCCTTGTGGCGCGGACCCTCGTCCGCATCCCCTGTCCACTATCCCCCCCCCCTCTCTCTCTCTCTCCATCCCCGCGGACTGCAGGATGATTCCGTACAGTGCTTTCGCCGCCCCGTCACTGTCGCACTCACGGGCGTCCCGCGCAGTGTGTATTTGTATGTGCGTGCTTTCGTGTGTGTGTGTGTGTGGGAGAGAGAGAGAGAGAGAGAGAGAGAGAGAGAGAGAGAGAGAGAGAGAGAGACGCCGTACTGCGGAATCAGTCTATGGCATCTGTCTATCTCCGTCACACAGAAGCCGCGCGCTATGAGTGGCACGTGCTCTCCGCTCTGCTT